CGCGTCAGTGCCTTCCACCGGGCCGAAGTACAAAGACGTCCCCTCAGGGATGCCACAGAAAGCCTTCAGCTCACTCAGGTCCACTTCGTCGTAGTCGTCGAACGTCAGTTCGCGCTCCCTCAGGAGCCTCTGGAGTGCCTTAAGCATCTCGTCGTGGACCCTGTCCTCTCTCACCAAGAAGGCGGGGATCGCCTCGTGGGGCTTCTTGTGCAAGCGCCGGTAGTAGCCGCCGATCTTGTTGCCCGCATCAGGCAGCGGCTGCCTATTCATCGGGCTTGCCTCCAGGAACTTCACCAGCTTGTCCACGCCGTCTTCGTTGTTGAAGTCCTCCAGGTCGAGCTTGTAGAGCAAGGCCACCAAAGTCGGGTGCTCGCTCTGCAGAGCTCGGCGCACGATGCGCGAGGACAGAAGGGCTCGCTCGTCCTTCTTCGTGTTATTCAGCGCCCACCGGATCTCCGTCACAAAGTGGCTGAAGCTTTCGGGCTTTCCGTTCCATGTAGGAACGAAGTTTCTCCCATCGGCCAAATCGCTGGCCTTTGCATTCCCCAGCATGGTTCCCTAAGGAATGTCTTTGGGCCCTAAAGGTCCCTGATCGACCGGCGGTAGCTCCTAAGAGCTCCGCTACCAATTCAGCGGCAGTTTGAAGAATCGTCTATAGATGCATCGCTCAGTCTCTTTTGACCCGTGATTTCCGGTCAGCTCAAAGGGGCCCCCTAGGTTCGAGCCATAGGGGCCACGTGTGAAACACTTAAGCTGCGCACTTTGCTCCCTAAAGGAGCACACACACAAGCTTACGCTGCAGCAGGGTTGGGGTCATCTTGGTGATGACCGCCATGATGGCTTGGAGAGGTTCTGTCTGCATGCGGTCAAAGGCCCCCTGTGCACGGTTAGAACTGATCAAGCCCTTGATGGCGCTCTTGTTGCTTCCATTTTGGAGCTGGTGCAACTTTGTGTCGGTCCATTCGTTGATTCTCCGCTTTGTTAAACTTTTGAGTGATATACTCGAGCGGCTGCTGCTTCAAGGCAAAGCTTCCCATGTCCACCATGGTGAGTGGCGAAAGGCGTTTGCCTCTGCGATGTTCGAACTTGAATCTCGCGTGTCCCCTTCGCTGATGCCGGCGTCAATGGCAATCGAGCTGATCATGGCTTCCCGATACTCCGCCTGCACATTATTGCCCTCTTCGTTTGTGCCAATGTATTGCCACCAGTTCTTCACCATCAATTTGCCTGCAACTTCGGCACATTATCTGTCTGCTTCGTTGTAGAGGAGGTATGCCAGTTAGGCTCGTATGTCGTCCAAAATGTCGTGGATCTCTACACCTTCCACTTGAGATCGTAGGTCTTTGGCGTCCTCTTCTTGCGGCTCTCTGTGTTTCTCTTGACTTCTTCGCTTCTTGGGTTGGACTGCTGTTGAGGTTTGAGAGCGATTTTCCTGAGCTCGTTTGGCTCCCGCTTGACGGGGGCAGTGCTGAGGGAAGGGAACATACTGTTCCTGCACTTTGCCTGAACGCGACAACAACAAGGTACAAACAAAAACTGCAGCCCCGTCAACTCATATATCTGCTTTTTGTCTGTACATTAGGTAAAGACAAAAACAGGAGCCCCGTCATGTTGTTTTACCCAACAACAACAACAACACAGTGCCTATGGTGTACTGGGTCTGAATGGTTTGCAGAGGATTTTTCAATATGTTCAGCTTATTTTCAAGGATTTTGTGTGTATTTGCAAGGATTTTGTCTGTATTTGCAAGGATTTTGTGTGTATTTGCAAAGAGTTTGTGTGTATTTGCAACGATTTTGTACGTATGTGCAAGGATTTGGTGTTATTTCTCGGATTTGTACGAATTTCCAAGGACTTGTTACGTATACCGTATATCCGTTGATTTTGTATTTGCAAGGCTTTTTGTGTGGATTTTGTATGTACGCCCATGGACTTTGTGTGCACATGTCCAAGGCATCAGACATGGATCTGAGGGCCTGGGACCAAAGTCAAAGCAGCAGACGTCTACACTCGTATCCCTTTTGAACCGTTCGATATCTAGTGCAAAAATTCCAGACAAGCCCTTTCAAAGCCCATGAGAACCTTTCTGGATTTCGTCGATTCCCATACCTGTGGTTGAAATGTGGTGTAACGTGGGTGGTTGTTGTAAAGGGGGGGTTCAAAACAACAGTCGGGGCTCCAGTTTTTGTCTCTAGCACAGGGTAGAGACAAAGACCCCATTGAAATCGTCTCGACCCTGTGGTAGAGACAAAAACTGGAGCCCCGACTGTTGTTTTGAACCCCCCCCTTTACAACAACCACCCAGCCTACACCGCATTTCTATCATGGGGCAATTGCTGTGTAAACCATGGCTCGCATTCCCCCAAACTCGACAGGCACCCTATGCGGTCGCCGGAAGCATTCCCAATTGCTTCTTATTAACAACAATTACGGGCTGCTGTTTTTGTCTGTACCAACAACAACAACAAAAACAAAAACAGCAACAACAACAACTACTACTACTACTACTGCTGCTGCTGCTACTACTACTACTACTACTACTACTACTACTACTACTACTACTACTACTGTGGATGGAGGAAATCTTGCACCACTTTTAAAATGCGTTATTTAGCTTCACCCCGCGCCCCCTTCTTAACATTGCTATGAACACGGGGATTTACAAAATCGTTCCAATGACATAAATCTTGCACCGCCCCAAGAGGTCTGTCGTCAATGTTAAGAAGGGGGCGCGGGGTTGTTGCTTGGATGTGACCCAGCTAAGCTTCGCCTCCAGTCGCATATCCCAAAAGACCGACAAGTTCCAACCCAGAAATCATGCGGCTGACTGTACAAAATGGCACATCCGCCTGCGCCTTCATGGATGGGTTTGGCATGGTTCTGAGGTATAAGGTTTTGCTGAAGTGTTGAGCTTCTCGAGCTGCCGTGCTGCATTGGCAAGTAGCTTTGTCTGCCTTGCCATCTGCCTCGCTTGCACATGCTTGGCACCGTATTCTTGATTTATCTGATGTCCTTGCAGGGTTTCCCCATATGTGCCACGTCTGATAAGGTAGGCCGAGGGCAGTAATGTCCGATGGAACTTCGTCGGTCTCGCCACGTTGGCCAGCGCGTTCTGGCCGCGTTGCTCAACATGTTGTCAAAACGTCATCATACGTCATCATACCGCGATGCAGTGTAGGTCTGCAAGACAGTCTCGACACACACATGCAATAATATCGGCCTGGACAGGGTACTCGCGCATGATGCAGTGGCAGAAAATCTCGAAGCCTGGGCTCCGAAAGCACTAGCCTCTTTCGCTCTGCAGAACCACATGCCTGTCGAGATGCGTCTGCGGCTTTGCGACAAGCCCACACACGATTACACGATACCCAGAATGACAGACACCTTGCATACAGGATTTACGCAGGAGGCGTTGCTGAGCGGCGTGCTGGACCACTTGGTCCACTGCAGGCGCTGGATGATGGGGAATATCTGGCGGAGCTCCTCGAAGTCAAAGGCTGCCAAAGACAACATCTGGCGCACTAGCCCTGACTGTCCTCTTTCCGCAGCTCAGCAACAACTCCCAACCTGGGTACCAGGACTCTTTGCTGCTCGGAGCGCTTTGCAACCGCTTTGCAACGCTTGTGATGATCGGCATCTCAGTCTCCGCTTGACATGCCTGACTTAGGTGCAGGCTGTCCCCTCTGCCGTGCCATGTTGTCGATCTTCAACGTGACATTGTCGACTGCCCTGTGCGGTGGCCCACTGGTCTCACACGGGATTGCATGTGCCAAGTCAGGAGTTGCCAACCGCACCTGTAGTCGAACACGCCCCTGGTGAGCCCTAGTTTATCATGCCCATGCAAGTATGCCCAACTCTCAATCTTGTGAGCCTGTCCCAGTTGTTGACTTGGTTGGCAAGCTCGTATCTTCGCACCTCAATCAGAGACTAGAATCACTAGAACCTTCGAAGGGCAACAGGCTGTGGTGTGACATGTAGACAAAGAATGATTCGTACTACTCCCGAACTAAGGTGACCGCAAATTCTCGGACGCCAGGAAAATGTCTGGCTGTCATCCAGCCTCAGGCTTTGTTCGGCGATGGCAACCCTGAGCTGCAATCCTGCATAAAGTAGATGATGCTCCGGCAAAGCAAGCATGAACAGCTACTCACGTGGAATGTCAGCCTCTGGTCGACGCTGAGTTCATTGTTCCAGCTGTGCTGTGGTAGGAGACAACCTGAGATTGTGGCGTTCATCGTGTGCCTTCTTCTGGCTTGCCATCTGCCTCCCGGGTGAGCTGGGATGCTCAGGGTGCGGCGCATGCATATGTACGCACAGATACACACACAAAAAACACTTCATTTGCCAGAACTCCGCAGCCCGGTCGTGCTGACTGCTACTAGTAACTAACACCTGGGCGCAGTGGCAAGTTCAACTCTTCCAGTATTTAATACCGCACCACCAATGGAGGTGGGTCATGCAGCCACCACAGCTTTGAATTTTTTGAGTCACGGAAGTTGAAGCCGGAAGTGATGATAAAAGATCAGGTCATGAGGTCGGAATGACTGAGACGAAAACGGAAATGAAGCTGGCAACGACGGACAGGCAAAAACATGAACTCGGAAATCACCGAAAACGAAATCCCAAATGCGCATGATAAATGAATCCGCAAGTCACAGTGCAGCCACAAGCCCTAGGTTAGGCACACGCACTTTTTCCCCGAATCCGACGAGGTCCGTGAAGTGGCAGATCAGATCAAAATTCCGAGGGACCCGGGGCAGGCATAGCTCAGACAGGTCCGAAGACCGGTCGGAAATACGCCACCCCACCTCGAAATGATCAAACAAGGGGTTTTACAACCCCCAATCCCGAACCGAGATAAAACAGAAGACCCGGGATCCCGAGAGTGAGCGGTCCCGCAGAGCCGTACAGAAACAAAGCGCAGGTAATCGGCACCTGAGGCAACCGTACCTGGCATTCGTAACCGGTTTGAAAGCATGGCCCGAGAGAGGAGCCCCAAGCTATTGCTCCGATTTGAGGGCAAGGAGCTTGTCCAGGATCACGGGGGAGAATCCTTCGAAATCAAAGTGAGTGAGCTGATCTGCCCACGTGTTGGAGCTACGCTTGACATGGGTGACCTGAGCGAAGACACCCTTGTGGAACTCCTGCGCGGAAAGTTCCATTAAAAGCGCCGAGAAAGGCCACTTCTTCGAAGATCTCTTGCTGGCTGAAAAGGCATTACCCTCATTGTCTGTAGTAAGAGGGAGGTGAGCATCCAACATGCTGGGTCCCAAGGACTCCGCAGCCAAAAGGAAAAGAATGAGGGTACCCAGGAGTTCCAGGGCCCCAATCCGGCGCTTCGGAGAAGTGTGCGCCAAAAGGGGCTGCACCCATGGAGTGGTCAGGACGTCCATGGAGAACCACAGGACCTCCTCCTTGGCCGGGTTGAGAGAGGGCGAGAACCAGCCGCCAATTGCCACCCGGCCATCGTCCTCGCCAGCGTCGCTACTCCCGTAGCATGGAGTGTTATGCTGCAGGCGTAGGGGAACGCAGGGGCCAGCATCCAAGGTGGAGAGGAGCAGAGTTGCCAGGAAACGTACAAGTTCTCCCGGTCTGCACTTCCGTTCAAGTTTCTGCTCCCAAGCATAGAGTGGCTGAAGGTGGGAGCTCACCTGAGGGTATGCTTTCGCTACCCACTGCAACTTGCCGAGTAAGGAGGTGATTTCCTTTCTGGTATGAAGTTCCCCTGCTGCCAACTTCGACAAGGCCGGACGGAGGATGGTCATCTTTTCTTCCGGGAGCCACACAGAGCCCTCGGAGATGTTCACCATGTAACCCAGCCAACGGTTGACCTTTCCAAGGGCATTCTGGTGCCAAGAGATAGGACAGCCCAGCAACGTAAGGAAGAGCATGAGGGTGGCCGCCCCCAGTTCTCCAAGGCTCTCATTCATAACCGCCATGAAGTCATCAACAAAGACCAGAAGCCACAGGAAGACCTCAGAAATCTGGTAGGAGAGGCGGGTGAGGATGGCAGCCAATCGGCCCCAGTAAAGCTGTGCCGAAGCCACCCCATAGGTGCCGACCTTGTTGACCCAGAACTTCTTCTTGATCTTCGCCACCATGTACTTCCAGTGCTTCTTGAGAACTTTGATCCTCCGGTGGGCCTTGCTAACATCGGACTTGAAGAGGGTCAGGTCCTTAGACTTCAGATGGAGCCAGGCAAAAAGCAAGTCGTAGAGAGTCGGGGCCGTGGTCTTCTTGTCAGTGTTCGCCCTGATGTTGTCGTTGACGCCGATGACCGAGGCGTCGAAGATGGTCCTGACCTTGTCCAGTTCCTGGATGCCCGCCATGGCCCCGACACACAGTTCTGCAACCGAACAGGCACAGAGGTCCGCTGCCTCCTGTTCCGACAGGGGCCCAGCCACCATGTCGAGGAGTTTCTCTTCCAGGAAAGTTTTCTCGATGGTGTCCTCGAAGACCTCCGCGCTGGGGTAGTTGTCGGCAGTAGTGGGAGCCGGGGGCTCCAAATCCCTCCGTGCATTCCCCAGTTCCTGCTTGGACGGCCATATGTTCGGGTCCGTGGCCAGGGGCAGCCCCGCGCCTGGGTCCTGAGCGATTCCCGAAAGGACGTCATAGGAGAGACCCCAGGGGAATGGGCACCTGTGGCAACCGTCCCCGAGGTGAGTGTCTCCTCGATCCAATGACCAAGCCAGGCCAACTTGCATTTGTCCCTGTCCTCAGGCTTGAGTCTCCCAGGGGATGGCTTTCCACCACCATCCCTGAAGGGGCGAGAACGGTGTCCCAGCCGGACAATTAGGGTACTAGCCGCAACAGGAGCCAATGCCGAAGCAATGGAGCGGTCACCATCCGTGTCCCCGGATGTTGAAAAGAAAGCTAGCAGGGCCGTGGCCAATTCAAGATTGAATTGCCACCCCCAACGGGCCAAGTCAGAACTGGACCACCAGACGGGGTGGTCCGGATGCCTGCACCTGAGGCCATCCCAGTCCAGGGCCAGATTGCTAAGAACCGCCGTGGGTTTCCTGGCTCCGTGCCCCAGCATACACTGGTCAAAGCAGTGTATCTTCATCCGCGTCAGGCCCGCGAAGTCTTTACACTGGGCCGTGGCCCACCACGAAGAACAATTCTGCTGAGCTTCCGAGGTACCTTGGTTGGCGGGATCCTCCGCGTGTTCCAGGAGGAATGCAGGGGGCCGAGGGCCCGACGCCATTGCAAGGTGGTAGAGGAGCAGCATCCTGAGCAAGAGCAAAGAGTCATTATCCGTATCCCTGAGCACCGACACCTGAAGGTCTTCGAGGCCCCAGGCTGCTTGACCTTTCCTGCCCCTGACTGGGCCAGGACAGCCGACTCTGGGTACATGTCGCAGAATCGACCAAGTCCTGCAATTGGGCCCTCCAATGATTGCCATGAGGTCGCCAGAGAGCGCCAGAGCACAAAGGTCTGAAAAGGTTTCCTCAGAAAGTAGATCCCTCCCCTACAGATGTCCAATTCTCTGACTGAGGCCCCCAAGAGAGGGGCAACCTGTGCAATCGCTGCTTTGGTGCTCCTGGCATCATCCTTCCCAGCATAGAGAATGAGCACTGTAGGCTGAGACGGCTTGCCGGCAACCGGCCAAGAAGACACTCCAGGCAGAAGTTTTCCCTGAGCCTCTGGGGGAGGCCTCTAAAGCCCGGAAGCGTAGGTAGAGCCTGGTACCAACGGTCTCGATTCCATTGGTCACCACCGCCTGCAGCTACGCTTGAAGAACTCTTGTCCGGAGCAGGCGGCTGGGCAACCGCCCCAGGGTGGACCGTCTCTGTGGTACCCCCAATAGGAGCAGCCCGAGATGTACTCTGTGAATCCCGAGGAAGTCCCGACCCGTCCAGTGTTCGTAGGGAATCGGCACCTGAGGCAGCCCTTGCCCTTGCCTTTTCTGGGGCTTTGGGCTGGACAGTATGGTGGCGACGAAAGCAGAACTCATCGATTTCCATAGACCAGAATCCCGAGTTATTCTGGATTTCTTTGAGGGCGGCTGAGATGGTCAAAGTCTCATCCTTAGCCATGTTGAGGGCCACCTGGCGCCAGACCTTTCTTTCGGCTGTCATTAAAACCCTCAATGAGGGGGCAGGCTCACGGCCCATGATGGTATCCCCGAAGAGGAAGTTGTAGAAGTCGTCCAAGTCTGCCTTGGTGAGGTGAATGCAAGAAGGGCCCGTGCATGTCGCCACAACCATGAGGAGGGACGTGCGCCAGATCATGAGGACCCGCTTCCATTGTTTCTCCGACTGGACACGATTGGATTCCTCATGGATCCACTCCTCATCTTCTTTGCTTTGGCGCTTCTGGAACTTCAATTCACCATCCTTGGGGTGGTTTGCTACGACCTTGTTGAGATCCAGCTGGGAGCCTGAAAGGAACTCTCCCCGGTACAAGACCCTCTTCATGACACCAAGCATATGGTCAGATCCTTCGTATTCCCGCTCCGGTTCCGTGCCGAACTTGGAGAGGTAAGCTGCCCTCATTTCTTGGCGGTCACCTCTGCCAATCATTGCTTTGTAGTCTTCGACCGAGTGGATATCCACCTCGGCCAGCTTCCTTTTCTTTAGGAGCTTGAACTGCTCGACCGCGTTCTCCAGGCGGATAGCCGTGAGGACGCACGTATGCTCATCGTAACCATTCTGGCCTGGTGAAAAGCCCAACTTGGGAGCCTCCTTCCGGAGTTCCTTTTCATCCCAACGGCCTGCCCAGTCCTGGGCCGTGACAAAGCCCTGCTTTCCCATGACAAAGAGGACAAGCCACGGGACCTGATGCCTGGCCAGGACCAGACGAACGTGCTCTTCGATTTTCATGACCTCCTCCTTGTAGGGGTCTGGGCACAGCTCCGGGGGCGTGCCAGGGTCAGCTTGGCATCGACCTCAGCACCCGGTCTGTCCATACTGCCAGGGTACAGGAGGGCAAGGCAAGAGCGAGAAAACCAGGAGAGGGCGGGAGGGGGTACCGAGACCCGTCGCGAGTCTGACCCAAAATGGCAGCCGGCCCGAGCAGGATGCAGAGGGAAGGCTGTTGGCTTGGCCCTATGACATGCGAGTTGATCAATGCAAGCACGGATTCCTCTACAAGTCACAGTGCAGCCACAAGCCCTAGGTTAGGCACACGCACTTTTTCCCCGAATCCGACGAGGTCCGTGAAGTGGCAGATCAGATCAAAATTCCGAGGGACCCGGGGCAGGCATAGCTCAGACAGGTCCGAAGACCGGTCGGAAATACGCCAAGTCCGCAGGGCTAATGCCTGCCACCTCCGAAGGGCCCGAGGACTTAACACGTGGCAAAATTCGTTCAAAAGGTCCGAGTAACCTCCGATTCACAAAGCCCCCCTTCCACCACAAGGTCGGCACCTGTGCCAACCGCCCCTAGGGAACGAGGGGTCGCCAGGAGTCCTGGTATCAAGGCCAGGGGGCCGAAAGAAACCATCACGGCACAATCGAAAACGGTACCGTGGATACCGACCTCGTGGAGGAGGAGGCCGCCGGGCTCGCTCCCATGCGGGGAGTGGTTTCCTCGACGACAGAAGAGGAAGAGTCCGATTCCAGGGAACTCGCAAAGCTCGAGCCGTTCGAGGGTTCCTTGCTGGAGGAGTCCTTGGTCACCACGTCGCGTAGGAAGCAGTCCGGGGGCTGCTTGGCCCGCGCCGCCTTTTCACAGAAGACATAGTCCGGTGTCCAGTCTAGCTCGTAGAACGTAACCAGACTCTTGGAGTCCTTGGGCCTCCAACCACAACCCAGACAGCGGTAGCCTCGGTCAAACCAGTGTACCCGGTACACAGGAGGAGATCCTGTCTTCCGAGAGTTGGTGGCCATGAAGACAGGGCCGTCCGCCCGGTTTTCCTCTTGAGGATCCTTGACCGACGCAAGCACCGGAAGTTGCGCTTCGGAGGGATCCTGACGTGGTTCTTCAGCCAACTGGTAGTAAGGAGCATCAAGGTCCTCAGGGACGAAACGGATCCCATCCTCTTTGTTCGGCTGGGGCTTCGACAGGACCTCTTTCCAGATGGAAAGGACCACCGAGCGGTGTTCTCTCGTGTAGACATCCGCCATGCTGTCCCCTTGCCACCTTCCCAGGTATCGTCGTTGTTCACGGGGGACACCCATCTGGAACGCCAGGTTCGGCATGAAGACCCTGAACGAAGAGAGAGTCATCATCTTCACCTCCTCCTCCGGGATCTTGGCCCCCTTCATCGAGAGAAGAGCCCTAAGCCACCGCAGGGCCCGAGAATTGTCACAGGGGGCCCTTGTGAAGTCCAGGCGATCGCGGTCTGGGACAGGAAGGAGCAAGTCCTTTCGTGGCTAGGCTGTTACGCCTCTTGCTGAGGGCGATCATAGGTCCCCACCACTCCACCTGGGAGAAGGAGACCAGAGGTGCGACAAGAGGCTGGGGGCGATCATTGTCCCAGTCTGCCAGGCGGTGAACTCGAGGGTGTCCTTAGTGGTCTTCATGGAGTCAGGCCTGGTATGGGCTGTATCAGAGAACCTGGCCGAGGCCCCTATGCAGAACCGGAAGAACGAGGCAGCGTAGCCATCCGGTGAGCCATCCGGGAGGGTCCCCGCCAACTTTTCCAGCGCCATGACCACCTCCATGGAAGGCGGAGTGGCCCTCCTTTCTTTCTTTGCCTCCGAAGAGACCAAGAGGCCCCTGGTGTACTCATAGCGCCTGTTGATCGCCTGGTTGACAGTGGGGTCAAAGCCTCCGAAGTGGTGGGGGATCGAGTGAAGTGTCCTCCACAACTGACCCAGTCTGTAGATTGTAAACTGTTGGTCAACCGCCTCATGCAGGAGGTGCTTTGCCATGTCCTCGGAAAATGGCAAGGGGGAGCATCCCATTGTCGAGAGGAGTTTCTTGAGGCTGTAGAAGACCGACTTCAGGGAGTTAACCCTGGCCTTGCCTACCAAGGACCAAGGGCCTCCAGACCTCATACTTGTCCTCCCCCGGCTTGATGTCCTGCATGTTATCGAAGTGTCTGTGGTAGGGCGCAAGAACGGAAATGATCTTGTCCGCCCACTTTTTCTTTGCCGCCCTGTCCAGGGCAAGCTGTTTGACCGGCCCTTCCATCCGAGAAGGCCTAGGCGCCCAGTGCTCCCAAGACCTTTTCCCCCCCAGGCGTTCCATTGGGAGGGCCCGTCTTGTTACAGCCTCTGTGAAGTCCTCCTCGAGCTTTTGACTCCTATCTTCAGGGAGTGACTGAAGCCAGGTCGCCTTGACACCAGCAACAACATCCGGATCCAGGAGGGCCTTTGCAGCAACATCACACTCCACTGGGTGTGGGCCCAGGCCCATGTCCTTCAGAGTGAGCTCCAACCCCGGGAGGGCTTGAGCCGGGAATACTGTTCCATGCAGGAGCGTGGGAGGAACCCCCCCCACGGCACCTGAGGCCAAGGGAGCACCAGGCAATGCCACCACATTGACCCGGATGGAGGCTGTCTAGGCCTCCGGGTCTGGCTCTTGCCCTTCCCGGGATTGCATCTGAGCTGCCCTCCTTGCGGTGCTGCATCGTACACAGTTGCAACGTTCAGTGTGTCCCGGGTGTGGCCGTCGTTTTCCAGTCCAGGGCAAAGACCTCCATGTTCTCAGAGGGAGGAGGATCCGGGTCGGGTCGGCGGGGTCTATCACGTCGCTGGCGTCCTTGGCGGTGTGAGCGGCAGCCATCCCATTCACGGTCACATCCCACGCACAGTGCCGTGAAGGAGCCCTGGCGCTCGCATCGGTCACACCAACTCGTGGCCATCTCTCCACACCATGCGCAGGGATCACGCAGGAGGAAGGTGCCACCTTGCCGTATGCCACCTTGTCGCCAGCGTTGGACCGTATACCCGGCCCTGAGGCCAGCGTTGTTCTGGCGAGTCTCAGGGGGGAGAGTGAGGAGGAAGGACCAATCAACTTGGCTGGAATCGTTCCCAGATAGCCTCTGTGAGGATGACCAGCTCACGGTCCCGCGTGTCCACGACCTGACCAGCATCCATAGGTGAGGCCCCAAGGCCCGCTGGCACAGAGCAGGGAGAACAAAAGGAAGCAACCGGAAAAACCAGCTGCGGGGCCCGGCCAGTAAGAGTGCCAAGAGCACATCACGGCACTGCCAGACACACGCATGAAGATCCAAGAGGCATCCACCCTTCCCAAGCAAGGACACCAAAAGGACCCAGCCCAAACCCGAAGAAACCCCAGAAGACAACCCCCAGAAATCCCAGCAGAGCAAGGCACGTCCTTTCCCTTTTGAGCAGCCCAAGGCCGGAAGTATCCAAAGCAAGCGTCTGAGGCGCCTTCTTCTGTCGCCCTCGATGTTTAGGTTCAAGGAAGGGAATCGGCACCTGAGGCAACCGTACCCCCCCCGTCCCCCAAGCATCGAGGCTGTACTGGGGAGGCAGTGCCCCCAAATTTGTTGAAAGAAGAGGATGTGGCACCCCGTAAAACAGCCCAAACGCTCACGAGAGGGCACCGACATCGATTGCGCCACCGTTCCCAGGCTAGGGGGCCGCGATCTTCATCTCCACATCAGACTCCAGTTCTCCCTTGACCGCGTCGGCCAGGACATCCAAGGACTGGAGAGCCTCCAAAGAGGGCTCCGAGAAGGCGCCACAACTGTGTGGAGGCTTCCGGGCCCAAGCGGATGCGGAAGGGATTCTGTCCCGGCATCTTGTGAGGGGCCGCGTCAAGTAGCGGGGCCGTGCCCTCGAACTTCTGACAGAAGAGCATGCGCCCTTGGATCCACCTCTCGCGCTCTGCCTGCGGCGGGGCCGTGACAATGGCCTGCAAAACCACTTCGCCATCGAAAATCTCAAGGAGCCAGCCGTGCATCTCGTGGCCCTTGAGCCATTTGCCATCCACAGAGTCCCGGCCCCATTCCGTCCTGCAGAGGGTGCAGGCATAACGGTTCTTGGTACGTTTGCTCGAGCCAACCCTGGTGTAGTCGAAGCCTGACAGGGCCGGGAGGACCATGCCACATTCCATGTGGATCCAGTGCCTCTGGTTGGGCTTGTCCACGAAGTTCGGGGCCTTCACCCAGGCCCCTCCAGTGCAACGGTAGTACTGGAAGGCCACTGCCCACTTGTGCTTGCCCGAAAAGAACGACTTGAGGTCGACCGCGAGGGACTCGATAGGCAGCGTGACTCTGTGGTCATACTCGGCCCGCAGCCGAAGCCTGTCTTTGGAGTCCACGACCGGAGCATCCGGGAGGTCCTTGAGCCAGCTGGGGTTGTGAGGGAAGTTCATACAATGGACCTCGAAGCTCATCCGTCGGAGGATAATCGCGTAGTCCTCCGGGCACTTAGGTTCTCCAAACCCTCTTGCCTCCATCCAGGACTTCGCCTTCAAGCGTAGGTCAAGCGGCTTGGAGAGAGCCACCATAGGGTTGAGGAGGTTCCCCACCATCTCCGGGATCTGGAGCCAAACCATGCTTGGCGAAGAGGGCGTTCACTGCATGCATGGCAGATGTGAAGGCTGTGTGGCTGAGGTCCGTCCAGCCGGCATACCATTGGTCCGCCTCCACCTGCGTGACCGAGCCCGGTTGCCTCACCCACCTCCACCCCGTGAGGTAGGACTGTTTCTTGCACATCTGCAACATGGCGTTCAGGGTCCGGACCTGGTCTTCCAGAGTCTCCGGGGCCTTCGTCCCCTGCAGCTCCGGGAAAGGCTTGTCGAAGAGGGCCGGGTTGAAGAAAGATGCCACCCGCTGAACATCGGACTGGTGCTTGAGGTCTCCACCCTCGATGTCCTCAGGGACATTGGGTATCGACTGGATGAGTTTGTGGACCGCCACCACTTCGGATTGGATCCGGCCGAGCACGTCTGGGTCCCTTTCTTGGAAACTCGAGAGTTCCCCCGTGAATTTTTCTGAGTGGCGCTCTATCAGATCGACCAGCTCCTTGCTCCACAGGCTGGGCTGCTCGACCACCGGAGTGTAGACAAAATGCTCCTGGAGCTGCTCCGCGTTCCGTTTCTTATTTGGCCTTCTCCGTCTTGTCAAAGGTCATCTCCTCCTGGTTGGTCCCTCTGAGGTTGGCCTCCAACGTGGTTGAAGAGACCAGAGCCATGTTTGCGACCGCTCTTTTTCCCGGGATGAGTGCCGTCTTGGCTACCTCTTCCGCCGCGTCCACGGTCCCCTCCTCCATGGCCGCCTGTTCTGAGTTCTTGAAGTTTTCCATCGCGATGTCCCGGTCCGTGGGCGGCCGCTCCGGCTTCGGGGTCCACCCATCGCCACCTGAGGCAACCGGGGTGTCCCCCTCTGCCTTGACCGGGCCCGGTTCGACACCAGGTCCAAAGCTGGCATCCACAGACGTGCCATCCAGGTAGGAGATCACAAAGATACCCCCCGCCGTCGCCTCCACCTTGGTAACATCAGAGAGAGAGAGGACACGACCAGCGGCATCCACCATAACAGGTCCCGAGGGGCTGTCGAAGTGCTCCCACCCCTGTTGCCCAAAATCCAGGAGGTTCCCGTCAGCGTGCGCCTGAAGGAGGCCCAGGGGGAAGGAGCAGTCCAGATGATCGAAAATGTTCTTAGCGACCTCCGCCCCCGGAACCAGGTCAAGGAGAGTGGTGTCCTGCTGGTTCGGGGTCGTCATCAGCGTCCGGAGGTTGCAGATTGCCAGGTGAGGAGTGTCCTGACCGTGGGTACATCCGCATACTCCTTCAAGACGTGGGCCATTTCTCCCTTCTGGACCACAAGGAGGAGCGGGAGTGCATCTCTCTCGCAACAGGTGAAAATGTCCCCCCCCTGGTTCTTGAAAGCAGCCGAAGCCGCAGCATTGGAAGCGGCCCAGGCGACAAGCTTCGAATGACACTGGAGCACTGCAAGGGCAGCCCCCGCAGCCGCCCTGAGGACCTTCTCTCTGTGGGTCTTGTTCTCCAGGTTCACCGCCTCGGCAAAGGTGGCCGCACCCTCAGAATGGTGGGCCGCGTCCTCCAGGGTGATGCGGGCGTTGGCCATGTCGGGGCTAAAGACAACTCCGCATTCGTGAGGCTTCTGCTCCGGGCCATCCTGAGAATCAAACCTTGGGCAATCTAAGTCCGAGGCAAAAAGGAGTCCCCTCGAAGCCTGGTCCGCCATCTTCTGAGCCAGGTCCTCCGAGGAGTTAGTAAGCCCCCCCCTCCCGGCCAACGGCACCTGAGGCAACCGGACCGGGTGAGGAGTCCTTCCCCATCGGACCTTCAGAGTTGATGGCAGCAGAGAGAGCAGGGCCCGGCAACTTCCTCTCATATTCCGTCTGGGGCCTGCCGAACTTGTACTTGAAGTCCTCCCTGAAACTATTCGAGGTGTTCTGCCTGGCACCCTCCACCAAGCGCCAGGAGGATCCATCCGGGGCCGGGGCCTCGAGAGGATTGGCTTCCCTGACAGGCAGCACCGTCTTGTTGCACAGAACGCAACGAACCCTGAAACCAGAAGCAAACCTACCCCCACAGTAAGGGTCCGAGCAGATGTAAGGCAAGGGCGCAGTCGAGGGCCTGGGCACCGTGGCTGTTCCAAACCCTTGGCCCTGCTTCTTGAGGATTTCCTCCTGGCGTAGAGTCGCCATTCTGCTGCGGAGGTGGCCCCCGACATTAAGGATCGCGTCCTCAAGGAGCCCTGAGTTCTCAGACTCCACTGCGGCCACCATCTTCTCCACCACAAGTTTCGGCAGGGAGCGGAGGATGGTTGCAACGTCACTGCGGAAGAAGCGGTCGGGCATCACGTCCGGGGAGACCAGCCTGTAGACCGACTTGGTGGCGTCCACGCACTGGACCACCGCCCTGTCCGCGCCCATCAGTTCCTCTTTCGTCAAGGATGGCAGGGAGAGGATGACCGTGCCCACGTTCTTGTACTCGAGCGTGTGCTTCATGTGTATCAACCCGCTCACCATGAGACTCGGGTCCTGGTGGAACTCCTTAGATGTGGCGTCCACATGAGAGAGGATCTTCACGCGGTCCTCCCGTCTGAGGCAGTTCCATCTGGCCAAAACTGTACTGGAGAGCTTTTGGCCTTTCACCATGCCCACCTCTTCCGGGACAGTGCAGTACCATCTGCACACAGCCCCCCACCATGGGTGGGACTTGCTAAACAAGTCAATGACCGAGACAAAAGGGAGCTCCTTCTGGAGCATCACAACCCGATCTTCGATCAGCGGCAGGACCGCCTGGGGGTCTTTTGCCGCGTCCAGCTGCTCATGAACCCAGGCCTGAAGATACTCGATGTCTTCATGTTCCACCCATGAGTAATCACCCGAGGTGCTTGGCACCGTGATCGAGGGTGCCTTGTCAGCCATGACCCAGGAGCCATTAACCGAGTCGATCAAGCCCGGCTCCGAAGGAGCACCATCGTGATCAGCTGGTGGGGCCCCCTGGGAGGAGGATCGGCACCTGGGGCAACCGCGCTCCCCTCTCCAGGGGGCGCGTCCACCATGGCAAAGTCTTCATCCGCTGCCGGATCCGCCGGCTCCACCATCTCCACATCCAAGGCTTCAGGTGACACCCCCTGGGAGGGACGATCGGCACCTGAGGCAACCGTCCACTACCACAGGAGGCTTGCCTGTAGCAGAGGAGTCGCGGCTGGAGGTGAGCAATCGGTTGCGCTTGGTCTCATCGTACATATCCAGGAAAAGACGCAGGAGGATGGGGTATCCCTTCAGGAGACCCACCGTATGACAAGCTCGAAGTGTTTCAATGACACCGGCCCGCTTCACCTCGTCTTCTGTCTGCTTAGTGACCTGGGCGAGCACGGCTGTCACATCTTCGAGGACCACACCATCTGCAGCTCCTGCAGGGGCTGCTCTGGAGGGGATGGGGGCAGCTTCTGCCTCAACACCATCCTGCGGAGCCACGGGTGATGAGAACTCATCGATCTCAAAAAGACTCTGCTGTACTCGCTGTGCCGCCAGATTCTGTCTAATCTGGACAGGCACATCGTCATGCGAGGCACGCGAGGGGTTCGACATGACCAGCAACAGAAAACAATCAACAAGAAAGAGAACAACACGGGAAACAACCCCGCGGTACCGAGACCCGTCGCGAGTCTGACCCAAAATGGCAGCCGGCCCGAGCAGGATGCAGAGGGAAGGCTGTTGGCTTGGCCCTATGACATGCGAGTTGATCAGTGCAAGCACGGATTCCTTTACAAATGAAACTAAGAGACGGACATGAACAAAGATGCGCCCTTAAATGACGAACATGAAGACGACATCACGGAATTGAGCGAATATAAATCCGTCAACAAGCGGCACGATATCCTGAATTGACAAAATATGAACCCGCGAATGACCGATACACAATCCGGACACGAACCCACGGATCCGAAAACATTGCGAAATCACCGAGGATTCATCTCGAAATGACCAGAACGGCATCGAACCAAGACATGCAGGCGAATGAATCCAGCTATCCGGAACGCAACCAGAGAAGCTCCGAGAAGGCCCATGGAGGCAGAAATCAACAAATCTGAAGCGGAAACGACCAGAGCTCTGCCCTGAGCAATAGCAGTTAGTGCCTCTTGAGGCTTATCCACTCTGCATCTCGCTTGTCCGCACCCCACCTCGGTCACATCGAGAATTTCACACACGTTGAAGGTTGGAGTATTACACACGGAGAGCGAGACGTGCAAATAAATGGATACTACAACACGACAGCTTTTGCAGGGCCCGCACTTCTGTGGTTCCGAGACTTCTGCGGCTTCTTCCTGCAGCACAAATGTTTCGATGCGTTTTGCGGCATCCGCATGAATCCTAGTCCAGTCATTAGGATTTGCTTGGGAGAGTCGGCAAGGCACAACATGTCAGGTCATAAGGGATTTCATACCTGGCCTAAACCGATGCGGCCTTGCTTTTGCTAATGTGGTCCTGGGGATTCTCGGCATTCTCAGCGCCCGGGGGCACAGCAAGAAGGTCGTTGGCATCCACCTGTTCGTCATTCTATGTGATAGTTGCCAATTGTGTGTGTTTTTGAATTTTTGCGGTTGACTGTTGCCCTCTTGCACATCATACTCGAATGCCTCATCAAGCGCCAGTCCCAAGGAAGACTCGTCCGACGACTGGCTGAACTCGTCCTCCTCATGGCGAAACTCCTCCTGTCCAAGGTGCAAAACCAAGTAGCGTTCTGGCATCGAGCCAAATATCTGAGTCGCAGAGCTGGAGGCCTTGAGTCGGAGCCCTTTGGCACAGAGACAACCAGAGACAATTTCATACGCATGGTCCATGATGCACACACCATAGAGACTCCCTGTCAATGCGATACGAAAAGCATGCATGCGACACACAGACACACACACACACAGAGTAAACTCCCATGTCAAGACATGCCGTAGCCATGAATGCCTACGAAGTCTGCTCAGTCCCAGTCCTGCCAAGGTCAGAACCCACAGCGAAAGGCTGCAAAGAAAAAATGCAGCTACAAAGCTGAGCTGAGAGGACACTCATTGCGCCATCCTCCCTGGCACCTGCGTCGAGCCCGGAAGCGCCAGCATCCGGCCAGAAGGAGAAGGCGCGGGAAGCTCCTGCATGCTGCAACAAAGCTGCTCGTTCCCAAACCTTTGCATACCCCGTCGTTTCAGGACCCGCCCTGCGGACTCGCGGTTTCAACGGATGCGAGATACATGACTCCTGAAAACAAAGCATGACACAGTTTCTTAGTCGAAAGCAAATTAGACTCTGCCTCCAGGCGCTGCTGGAAAGAGGCCGCATTCTCTGTGGGCCTCGGAAAGCTCGTGTGAGCATCCTGGATCTGTCATGGGTCGACCGTGAAACGATGGACCATTGAACCCTGTCCCCGGCAATCTTTCCGCAAGACCCAAAACTGTAATTCTGCAAACTGCAAGCCTGGCATGGTGGCACAAACTCAGCAGTGGTCCAGTCCCACTGGGTCCGGCCATCGAAGAGGCTAAGGTAGTAGACCTCGCAAGATTAGACATCACAAGACCATCTGACATGGCTGCTGGGTCCGCAAGAAGACTGTCGGAATTGTCGGGATGTCTCAAACTGCCAATGCACGTTCGTGCATTGCACAATGTGCCACGGACTTGCCGCTTCGTTCATGCAGGCCCGAGACGCATTGCCACACGTCTCTACCGCGCTGCGCATGCCTTGAGAGGAGCACCTGCAGTCCTCCCTCATCCCCAGAAGTGGTGTGCACCCTTCGAAAGGCCTTGCCCTCCCTCGAGAAGCGCTCTTCCCAGTGTGGTGGCAGTTTGGGCACCTGGTCCATACATTCAGAGGCTTGAGTGAAGCTTCTGCAACTGATGGCAGGGAACACGCCTCCCATTGTGTGATGTTGGATCGAAGGTTGACGTAGAACTCGCGACCATCAGGCCTGGGCCAGAAAAGTCCAGTGGTAAACTGGCTGCGACATCTTGGCAAATGATGGAACTCAGTGGCAGACGTGGTCTGCAGCTCCCAGCCGGAAGGAAGCATTACTTCCTCAAGGTGCACTCATGTCGGAAGCCCTCTCAAAACCCTTCCGTGAATGAAGCGATTCAGCAGAAGCATGTCATTGGGCCCGACCAGCTTCAACAAAGCTGCATTGTTCCCGACCAGCTTCAACAAAGCTGCATTATTCAATCTTGGCTTCGAAGCCTCTTCCTTCATCCCTTCAACACGATGTGCACGGGCCACGAGAAAGCAAGCGTGACCTGGTCTAAACATGTGCAGCCCTTTGCCGGTCCTGGCTGTTCCGGGCCGCTTCCAAAGATGCCTCTACAGCAGCTCGGACTTCGGCTTCGGACCTGGCGCAGCGCAAGCAGAGCGCGGGCAGGTCCCAGCTGCTGAAGCTCGGCTACTACGCCATCATGGCAGCGAAGGGAATGCACAGGACAGGATCCAGCAAAAGAATCACCCGCTTGCTGAATCCATAGGAAGTGACGCAGGCGTTGTTCAATTAAACTAGATCTCTCTGGGACTCGTCCTTATGGTTGAACTAAAACTCCAACCTTTCAAGGTCTTGTGTGGTTCTTGCGGTTCAATGGTCATCTCGGCTTTTGCTTCCAGCATTCTTTGCGAACAGAAGAGCCGCACTTAATCATCAAACACTGGGATACATAACGCACCAGGGAGCCAACCGCCTGTCCAAACTTCCGGCTTACAACAGGACATCAATAAAACGAGGAAGCAATCTATCTCCAGGTGATAAGATAACGTATTCATGTGAAGAGAACACATGTGTGCATTAAACTGAGCAAAACATATATAATGGCAAGGAAACCAGTGTTTTCTTTCTAGCCGTCCAGCATAGGCATTCATAAGCTGCACGTGAGGGAATCGAGGCCGTTGCTCGCCGTAGTCCTCTTCTTTGGAGCCGCCTCCTGGGATGCCGGCCTTGTGCACTCGCCGAACTTTCGTACACGTCGTCCTCTCTCGCTCGCTCTCTCTCTCTCTCTCTCTCTCAACTCTCTGCCTCCAGCCTCTATAGCAACTGAGGTAAGAAGTCCACTCGCCACTCATAGACACACAGCCCACCCTACCAAGTCTTCATGTATCGGATTTGCTGTCTCCCTTGCCGGACTTGGTGACCCCGGCCAGGGACGCACCGGGCTCGGGAGCACCGTGGTGGGCCTGAGCGAGTGGTCAGATGGACAGACAGACCAGTAAGGGGTTTTGAAACGGGTCGGTTAGAGTTGCACAGTGCTCCGCCATGCCTATTGCCTTAATTACAACAGCAAATTCAAGGTGGCTTCGATTCGAACAGTGAGCACGGGGTGCTCGCACAAGAAAGGTGTTGAACCACGGACTGAACCGTCGCCTGGGATCTCAAATCCTCGTTGGCCATAAAAGAGCAGTGCAACGCTGCGGCGGAGCTGAACTGCGCCGCTCACAAAAATTCTAGTTAATCTCCAACATTTCTCCAGCTGCATACCGTCACGGCACGTCGAATGGTCTTTGAATCCGCAACAGACCTCATGCACATAATTGAACCACAAGCGCAAGAGCAAAGCATTATCAGTTCTCGCATTTGGGGTATAGTTCATCGAATGCAGCGAGCCTCGCGTTGCAATGGCAGTCGTCTGAACGGGGGCACCTCTCAGCTGAACAGAATCGAAAACGCATGGACCTTCCCTTCCAGACACTTCGATTCATGTGGTGCACAAGCATGCTCGGATGACTGCTGCGGCAGACGAGCATCTGCTCAAGCCCAACGAGCAACGGTGTTTCGTTGCTAAGTCGCACAAGATCAGCACTTAAGAGATGAAACTGCGACTGCCATAATATACTCTAGCCTTGAGAAGCGGAAGACATTCCGAGTGAGCGGTGGAGCTGCCAGCCTCGCTTTCGCGTTCCATGGGCGTCAGGTCGTCATCACCTGCGCGTCAGCCAGAACAGCAGATTTCGACAGCTATCCTTTCTCAGGACAAAATCGGGATCCAGCAGAAAATTTCTTTCAAGTCTACTTGCGGAAGCTTTTGGCACTCTTCTTCTAAACTAGCTGATGCATGCTGACAGACGCAGCTTCCTGCCTGACTCCGGAGAACTTTACCACGCAAATATCGCATAGCTTTGCCTGGTGCCGGCGCTCCATGCTCAGCCTCCATCCTGAACGAGGAGTGCTGGTTCATACGTTTTTGTTTGAAGAATTGCCCCGATGAGTTTCGAGCTCAATGCTTCGAGGCTTCAATTGATTGCGGCTGGGAGATATGGGAGATTATGGGAGGTAGGCTGCGATTTCATCATGTCATATCATGTCATAATGTGAATGGCATCGTATCAAGAACCTCGACATGATTCACAAGGCCATGCTTACCGAACCGTTTCGACACGCGGGGCCTACCTAGCTGCTTAACAGCAACTCTGCGAGCAGAAGTTCCGGTTTGTGATGCGGGGCCACAGGTTTCTTCTTACTGCCTGGTGCCTAAAGTCTAAAGTCTTCTGCAGATGCTGAATGCAGTTATTTGGATATCAACTTGCTGAACTCTGTGTGCTTGCAAACGGACACGTGCTTCTGATTTCTGCTTGCAGAACTTGCTTTTCCTGACGTGCAAAAACACACAACCCCTCCGTAATTGTTGGCATCTTTTCTGCTCAAAAAGAACGTGCAAAAGCGTGCTACTAGCACCAGAAGTCAGGTGCCTATGCAGCCTGCCACAACATCCCTTCAAAGAACATCCATTTGCTGCCATTTGCTGCTTTGACGTTTAGCTAGCAGCTAGCATGCGTCAGTAACATGGAAGCCTTTGCTGGCGGAAACCAGATGCCAAACGTTTTCAATTCATTTCAGAAGCTTCCCGGCTTGTTGTTAGTGAAACCGTCTGCTATTTCGGCGGGTACACGCGCGCCGCATGGCCTTTTGTTGATACGGCCGCGTCTGCAAAAAATCTAGTAGTGCCATGGCCCTCTGGGGAGGTCACGGAGCATGAGCATCCGTGGCGAGCACGCGTGGCCCTAAAACACCACATTTCCGGCCGCATCGTGTGGCCCAAGCACCTCGCGTAATTTCTCCAGGGTAGCTGAACTTTTGGGATCAGAAGAGGCCGGCAAATCTGGAACACCCTTTCTTGACTGGCTTCGGTATATGGCCAAAGATTTAATCCTTGTGGTAACGTCGCCTCGGGTAAAGCTTCCGCTGAAATCATATGCGATGCTATAGAGACACAGTGCCTTGTCCCGGGAGGGCTCAGCGCGGCCGCTTCAGCCTCAGGCAATATGGAAAAATGTGGAAAGAGACTGAGCTTTGCAGATTTTGCAGGACGAGTCGAGTGGTTCCAGAAATATATGGGCTCACGACATCCTTGGTCTTGGCGGCCTTTGCCGCATTGCGCAGCGAGCCAAGCCTGCCTTTGCCTGCATTGAACGCTCTTCCCAAGTTGCATGAAACGAATGTGCCATTGGCCCACATACAGGCCAGGGGATGAGTATAGCCTCAATACGGACTAGGTCCTAGGTCCTCTCGTTTTTCGACTTTTCAATGTTACCGGCATGACGGATCTGTGATGCTGCAAAGGGCAGCGACGTTCACGGCGCTTGAAGGTGCGTGGAAAAAATACCCTATTGCTTGGCCCTTAATTCGCTCTTATCGTTTTACAAGACTTTGGGACTGTAAGCAGCAGCAACAACACTGTTTTTGCTCTTGTCTTTTTGAGCAGGATTGGGCAACTTACAGTACGGACGCATCTAGTTCACAAAATGCTCACGGGTGTTTTCGATCATCCGTCACTTGAAAAAACACCGTGCCTCGGGGGTCTGCGAGCTTGGAACCACCTCAGGCTTCGGGGACTGGTCCAACCCGGCGCAGTTCTGCAAAATGCAGTCGGGATGCTTCTGCTGGCCTTGGATGACACGTCCTGCAAAAGCCACAAGACAATGAATGCCAATACTAAGACACGGCACAATGCCCTCACCGACAACTAGTGGTCACGACACACAAAAAGCACAAGGCTCGTTCAGTTGCATTCGTCCTGATTGGGAAAGAACTGCACAGTGCCATCTGGAAGGAGAGTTGGCCGCTGCCATGTAGTGTCCTGTTCAGCCATTTTGACACTGATGCGTTGATACCAAAGCAACGACTGTGTTGGGGTGACCGTTTCAGACCTTTTGTAAACAGCAGCTTGTGGAACAACCAAAATGGGTCGTGAACCATTTCAGCCCCCAACCTCTAGCTGCTCCAACACTGGACTATGGCTGTTGACCACAAGTTCTGACTCTTTCTGACTCTTCCATCAACTGGAGCCGGCAGCACGCCAGTCTGCGAGAACACATAGTAGACACGTCCTGTACATCACAGGTGCGGGCCACAGAACAATAGATGGATTCCGTTCACCAAGTGCTGTTCCATTATTGGGCGCTGCGAGATTCACGGGAATCTAGGCCGACTCTCGTGAGGTTGGGTTCTGATCTGTCACGGGCTGGGCTACTTTGCTAAGAACGGCAAATGATCCATTCGATGCCGCGAAACGTAGCCGAAGTACATATCATCAAAGTCAAGTCGTCGATCGGCACGAGATCTAGCTTCCGAAATGTCTCGAGCCTCCATGTTCCTCTGAGACATACTCCTCCCAACCAGGAGGCAGGTCACCGACCTCCAAGGTAAACTCGAACGAGAGCAGGCTGAAACGAAACACAATGCACGAACAAGTTGCGGAAGCTTTTGTGGACTGTGACAGGTATGACGACATGCTCGACTCAAGGATACGCGGCCTTGGACGTGTACAGCGCTGCTTCTAGCGCTGCCTCACGAGCATTCCGGGTCTGACTCTCAAGTTACCGTCTGACAATTCCAACAAAGAAATCTAGCAAGGCTTGACGGACGAAAAGGCCAGAAAAAAAGGCCTGCGAGGAATCTAGGGTGTCAAAAAAACTGTTCATTGCCTGGCCTGCGCCTTGTCCTGGGCATCGATCTCCTGCAACAGCCATGGTCGTACAACTTCATAAAGGACTACACAAACTGCACATACTGTTTGGCCGTATGCGATCCGGGATCCATGCCAAACATCTGCATTTCGAGCCGATCTCCCTACATTTACATTTCGCAAAAACTTGTCAGCTGCATTGCATAGGAACAGGACGAGGAGTTTCTGGAAAAAAGCTTCAGATGAACCTAGCAGGCCATCACGCCACAACTCTGTTCTGTTGAAGTTCTGTTGCCAGGAAATTCCACAAACTTCACCCGAAACCTTCCCATGGATATCGTGTCAGCCCGTGTACACAATCCACAGACTTGCATGTCACATGAGCCCAGAAAAGAAGCCTCCAGACCCTGCGCTGGCATCACCGGCCCAGTTCCAGGCCTTGGCCGATCAGCGAGATCTGCGGAGTTCCATAGGAAGAGCAGAGGCCGTTTTCCAAGTTTTGAGAGACGGCGGAGGGTCCCTGGACCTTATACAACACACTTTCAAGCCGGTGTTGAGCTCCATGCGCGTCCCCAGTGCGCATGGCCGCATCCTGTGTGAACGTGATGGACATATGTCTCACGAAGATACGGTCCGAAGAACCGGTGCGGGTACACGGAACATGAACATCACCCTTGCCCCGGAGTCTTTCTGTAGTTCTGTCACCGTCCAGGATGGGGCAGGCAGTACCATGCCATGACAGACATGCTAAGCAGCATTAAGCGGCAGCAGATGGTGATGCCTTGCTGAGTCTGACTGACAGAGCATGAGAAGAAACAAAGTATCTGTCTGCAACAGCGAAGCATGCTGCATGAGATGTTGCAACACTCATCGAAGACGCACAAGGATGCACAAGGAAAAGCCGTGGTGACAACAGACTAGCCGAGCCTCACTTCGCCACTTGGCACATGAAACGGCCACTTGGCACATGAAACGCAAGGGCACCAAGGTATGTGTGATCCACTATTGGGATGCTGCATTCGCAGACTCGACAACAACGAAGCTTCGCCATCTCTGAGGACTTGCACCTGGATTTGTCTCTGCTCCTCGTTGCTGGCCGTGCCGCGCAACCTTGGATTGAACTGCTGAGCTGGCACAGCTGCTTCCGCGTCAGGAGTCCTGGCAGTCTTAGCACCTCTTGTACCATGCCAGCGCCGTGCCCTGAAGCTGCCGTCTCGGTTCTGCACTGTGACAGTGGAGGTCCGTCCAAGTAGGGATCCCTGCGAGGTGCTGCAAGTCGCTTCGCACTGATGCGATCCCCAGGTCATAAGAGGTTGAAAACTTCTAGATCGTCACCCGATCGAACCAGCAAGCACGTAGAACAAAAATCTTGTGAGAATCCTTTAGTTTTCTGTACATCCAATAAGCTAAAGACTGACCAGCACCCCTGGCGATGGTCGAAACGGTGCCTGTGCGATGGTATCCGTGAGCTCTGGCCACTTGCATCTGCATGGTGGTCCCTGTAGCTGACCTGACCAGAGACCCAGGGAGCCTCAACCTTGCTAACATCTTTCTTCTTCAGAAAATCCAGGGACTTGCAAGGAAACCCTGAAGGGCCATAAAAACAAACAGCTTCCCCCGGTGTCCGCCAAAGATCGTTGTACCCACAGACAGGCTACGAGTAGTATATGGGGCACGTGCGCATTAAAGTGGACGTCGACTGCATCCGAACTTTCTCGAATATCCACAAAAATGAGCTCAGCCGGCCTCTTGGTCTTGAAGCGCCTCAACGGCCCCCTTGTCCTGCCAGGCCTCGAAAGATGAAGCGACGCATTTCGAGATTTATGCGAAGGCTGCGAAACGCTGCGAAGCATCAAAATCCCCCCCCCAACCCGCAGTCGGGTTGTATTCAACACGTTCTGCACAAGCAGGACAACATCTCGTCGCAAAGGTCCCACACTCTACCGGCGGCTCTTGCTCCTTGGAGCCTTGCAGCTTTCCGGTTCATGCTGTCTGGCTGGTTCTGGCTCGCTGCCAGGCCTCGCTTGCAGAGACACGGGCACAATGTCACCTCTATGCTTCGCTGATGGAGCCATAACGGTCTGGTGGAGAAGTTCAGACAAGTGGCTTCGCTGTTCTTTGACATATTGGATTTTGTCCAGCTGATCCTTCAGCACACAAATTGATTGTGCAGCTGGGATGAAAAACGAACTGCACAACAGTCCTTGTCGTTCATGGAGTCAACAAACCTTCAAGCACCAACCGGGCAGATGCTGCCGACATGTTTGTTGCTTGCCTAAGTTTCGATGCTCTCCCGTTCTTTGCGCACCTCCCACCCACCGGACGATCTATGCAAAGCAAAGAAGAGCTTGCCTTTCATAGGTTGTGTCACGATCTCCAGAACGCCTCAGACTTGCATGAGCGGTACAGAAGTGTCGACTCGGCTCATCCATGGCGGGACGTGCTCGTCCCGACTTGTGAGAGGTTGCGAGAGGTTCCGATCTTCAGTTGCTCGTTTCAATTTGTATGGGGTTGCCTTCTGTTGGATGCACGGAAGTTCAACCTGCAGGGAGCTGCGCGACAAGCCACTCAGGCACCCGCATCTTGATCAGTTCCCGCGTCTGCGCAAGTCATGCCATGCTGAAGCAATCACGGCATTACTGCCCATGAGCTAATGGGGCTGGGAAGCGCTTGCAAGAAATACATCAGATAAGGAGATTTGTGCTGACGAGAAAACGGCTTGTATGCAAATTATGTAGAAAGGAAACGAACGTGGGTTGCGATGAAATGCAGTCAGGAGTCTATGGCAAGGTCTGCGTGGCTGCTTCCGCCAAAACCGGTACTCAAGAAGTCGTGCTGGGATCGGTTGTATCTTTCGGGATCTGCAGGAAGGATTTCGAGTGCCGTCAATGGCACTGCTGAGGGGTTTGTTTAAGTCCTCCATATATTGCTCACTTAGTCTGCCCACCGTATTGCGCATTCAAGAAATATTCCTACACAAGTAAGGGCCAACTCATAGTTAGTCAATTCAGGCTTTGTTTATGATTATCCAGCCATGATACGGTAGTTTTAGCTAGCCGGCAAGTACATAGCAAATGCTCGACAAAGAAAACAATCAGCAAACTGCCGCAGTGCTAAACGAATACCGAAAACACTAGTAGTGAGGGTAGTGGTCATAGTGGCGGGGGTAGTGGTGGTAGTGAGTTTGGCGGAGGTGGCAGCAGTCGCCGTGGCGGTGGTGTCGGTGCGGGCGGTGGCGTGGTCTTGGTAGTTAGCCGTGCCTTCAGTGGCAGTGCCAGTGGGAGTCGTGGTTGTACTGGTAGCAGTGGCAGTGTCGTAGTGGCGTAGTCGCATAGTAGCATGGTGGCGTAGTATTGTAGTGGTATAGTCGTATGGTGGTAGTAGTAAAAGTAGTAGTAGTAGTAGTAGTAGTAGTAGTAGTAGTAGTAGTAGTAGTAGTAGGAGGAGGAGGAGGAGGAGGAGGAGGAGGACGAGGAGGAGTACGAGTAGGAGTAGGGGTAGTAGGAGCAGGAGCGGGAGCAGGAGCAGGAGCAGTTACTGGTGGCAGTGGTGGTACTAGTAGTCGTGGTGGTGGTGGTGGTGGTGGTGGTAGTAGTAACAGCAGTCTTAGTCAGAGTGTGAGAGCAGTAGCAGCAGCAGTAGTTGCAGCAGCAGTAGTGATTGATGTTGTAGTTGCAGTTGTACTTATTGTAGTTGTTGTGGCACTGAATGGAAAGTCAATGAGTGGCCCATGCACGGCCGGTTCTGCTGTTCCGCCTCAACCGAGAAGAAAAGCTCGGAGCCCTTCAGCGCTTTCACGCAGCAGAAGGTCCAGATGATGCGGTCGATCCTCATCAATTGGGCAGTTTGAATCGTTTTTGCTCTCGCATATGTCCCGAAGAATGCAGAATTTTTAGATCGAGATTGGAATTCAGAAGAGGTTGGCCAAAAGGAGGATTTGTGGCAGACCACTTGCGGTGCATTGATGAGGCAAGGTTTCGGAACGCCGCCCGTGGCGAACTAGGTCTCCGGCCACAGCATCTTTGTCTGATACCAGAAATCTCCGGTCAGAACATTCCAAGTAATGGGCTCCTGGAGCAGTGGCTCTCAGGCACAGCCGACGATTCAAGAAAATCTTAAGAATGGAATGATGACAAATGATGACTCTAGCTGATGGGCCTTCTGCAAATGCTTGCATCTTCTCCGAAATACCAAACCCCTCCCCCCGCTCCGGAGGTGGTAATCGGCCACGCCGTAGGCCTTGCTTGGTACTGATGAGCATCGCAAAGGCCAACACTGCCTGTAAACCCTGTGAAGAGTCAAATCGAAGGCGCTTGTCTTCGGCGTTGCGAAAACAAAACTGCCAGTCTGAAGTGACGTAGCGGCGAGGGTGATCTCTCTTGTTATCGGACATCACAAAAAGCAAGCCCCTGGCGCTCTCGCCACTTCCGCTCCCAGGGTAAGTATAGGAGCTTCATGAGCTGCTTCTCCGACGGCCAGAATGTCCTGGGACTTCTGTTAAAAGAACTGGCTTCTAACTGCATTCGAGACTTGCAAAGAGCCAAATGCAAGTGGCGGCAGGGAGATGTGCATTAAGATGGCTTTGAGTGCGGTGACCAGAAACTGATTAGGGCTCAGAGTGCCCGGCACATCAGCACGATAGGCCCACACCAGAAGGGTCACCCAGCCTGGGCCGGACACCACGACGACTGACACCAGCCACTGTCTGCTAAGTCAAAATGCACAAGCTGTGGCAAAGTGGAGTCGAGGCCGTGTGCCAGTTGTTCGGTCAAGCTCTACATGGTCCTGAAGGGTCGCACGGTCGCATCACTTTTCCTCCTTCAGCATCTTGCGAAGACTCATGTGAGTCACTGCACAAGTCAGCGAAGAAAGGCGGGATGACCAAATCTTCCACCTCCTGCAAGAACTACACAGGTACATGTGCGAAGATGTTAACTGAGCTGTTCCGTCACTCAGTTTGCCCAGCTGTCATGCAAGCCACCTGTTAGCACCACCATGCACCACCTGACCAATTCCGACAATCTGGACTGGTCACCGAGATTCCGGCGTCACTACGTGACTACGTGACAGTAGCTGTACCGCTTTTGTCCTCGCGCATGTCCCGAAGCAGCGACTCAAACGGATGCTTCACTTCCACCTCGACCTCAGAAGTCTGGGCTTGTCCCGTTCATGCAATCCCAGAACGTCGGATAGAAGTTCAACCGAGTGGCCATGCTATCGTCTAACGGCAGGCTAATGCTCGAGGCGTGCAAACACAGCCTCTCGCAAGAAAACCGCATTGCTCAAACTGGTCAAACCAGCTTGGACTCTTCTGGAGGAAGCGCGCAAGTTCTGCCTGTAGTAGAAGTGATGCGCGAACGGTGGCGAATAGTCGAGGTCACCTTCGGCATGTTGAAATACCATGCACTCAAGAACACGTAAGAACGTAATGTGCGTCCTGCCAGATTGTCGTGCTTTTGCTTTGTATCAACAGCAGGTGCTTGGTGAAGGATTCGGTATGATGTCCGGCTCCGACACCGAGAGCAGCGCCAGCACAAACCACAGGCAAACAAAACTCTTCGCATTTGCTGAGCTTCCATCAATCGGGCCTATGATCGGATGTCCCGCCATCGCGAGATGGAGACGGATCCTGGGACCAGGTCTGAGTGGCAAGGCTGAGCAGCAACGCAGCAAGCTCGACAGAAGATGACACAAGTACAACAGGACATCACGGGACGCATCCCCAGTAAAATAAAACGCAATGCTGCAGCCATCAATGCCACCATTGCTCCCGCCAGGTTCAAAGCCATCGTGAACACATGCGCCAGGACGAAAGTTCGTCGCGTCGGGTAGGTCTGTTAACGTATACTTGCAAACCCCTTTGCCCCATAGACTCCTTCACAAAGTCTCGATTTGAGGCCCGGACGTCGTTAATTCCTCCGTGAGAACAAAAAATAATATGATCCCACCCGGCCTACTAACAGTGCACACAAACAAAAGCACAAAAAATAGCACCAGCAAAACCGCAAAAAAAAACCTAGGTAGTGATCACAACCTCCAATTCGGGAACAGAACCAACGAAACATTCGTTGCATCCCATCTACTTCGCGCGAACCCCAACCCCCCAGCTTTAAACCCTCAGGAAAACCCTGGGCCTTCAGCCCTAAACCCACCCAAAGCCCTAAACCATCGGCCCGATCTCTGTCATAGCATTGCCTGCATTGGACTGAATATGGTACAGAATACAGAATGCATCGCTGTTGGGCGGCTTCAGTCAGGATCCAGGCATTGGCTAGTAACGACGCCTTTTACGCCCGTAAACTGTTACTGCAGCTCTTTGTCGAGGGGCGTTCCTAGGGGACTCTGTTGAAATCGCCTGCCTGCCGGAGCTCGCTGGCCAGGACCCTGGCCAGTTTGGTCTAGTTTCAATTATTTACACTGCCTCAATCAAACTTTTGGAACTGGTGGCCAATTTCGCAAGGGCTCTACAGCTTTATATCAAAGCTCGAGCTTTTTCTGGTGCTCGAGATTGTGCTCATGATTGTGCTTTTTTTTGGTGCTCAATTTTGTGCTCATGAGTGTGCTTTTTCTGGTGCTCAAGATTGTGCTCATGATTGTGCTTCTTCTGGTGCTCAATTTTGTGCTCATGACTGCGCTTTTTCTGGTGCTAAATTTTTGTGCTCGTGATTGTGTTTTTTCTCGTGCTCAACTTTGTGCTCATGACTGTGCTTTTTCTGGTGCTCAGTTTGGTGCTCGTGATTGTGCTTTTTCTGGCACTCAACTTTGTGCTCATGATTCCGCCTTTTTACAGTAATTACACTTTAAAGGCCAATGATTCGCCTCAAGAACTTATACTTGCAGTCATGATGTTCGGCAAATTGGGTATCAACCCTTGTGCTTTTTCTGGTGCTCAATTTTGAGCTCATGATTGTGCTTTTTCTGGTGCTCCGTTTTGTGCTCATGATTGTGCTTTTTCTGGTGCTCAGTTTTGTGGTCATGATTGTGCATTTTCTGGTGCTCAATTTTGTGCTGACGATTGTCTTTTTCTGGTGCTCAAGATTTGCTCATGATTCCGCTTTTCTGGTGTGAATTTTGTGCTCATGATTGTGATTTTTCCGAAGCTCAATTTTGTGCTCATGATTGTCATTCTGGGCTTCTTCGACGCGCAACCCGCGTTTGCCAAGCTGTGGCCCGTGCTTCTTCTGGACAGACCCGGCAGCTGTGCGCCCCGCCCCAAACTTCCCAAGAGCGAAGCAGCCCGAGTTTGCGAAGCCTCCGGGCCTAGGCTTATTGTGTACAGGCCCGGAAACCCCAAGCCTAAACTCTAAACTCCGAGCCCGAAACCTTGAGCCTCACATCCGGACACTGAGACAAGCTTGCCCTAAACGACTCTAAGCCTTGGCCCGAAACCCGAAAACCCTGAGACCCCACATTCCAGAAGCCAAATCAGCCTGACCAAGCCCAAGCCCCAAGCGACGCCAGTCCCACGGTGAATGTATCTGAAAGTGTGATGAGGTTGCTAGGATTCAATCCATTGGGGCCTTCAAACCCTGATGCTCATTTCTGCCTGTGTGTTATATAAGGAACCTTTATTTAACTGTTAGTGGGGAGGGCGGGATCCAACGGAAATTCCTCCGCTAGCCAGGCCACGTAAAATGCACTGCTTGGTACTCCGAGTCCTCCGCCAAGCAAAGACATCTTAGTGCGACAAAACTCTACCCCTCGTCGTCAGCACCAACATCAGTACCCGATCATGATCATCATCGACATCATCACCACCATCTTCTGCAGCACTGTTGACAAAGATTCCGGAACTCGTCTCGGGGATTGCTAAACTGTGGCAAGCATGGTCTGACTGAACATGACCTGCCCAATGTAAATAGCAGGAAATTCGGCACCCCAACATCTTCTACAGTGGGCGGTGCGAAAATTGTTTCACCGCTCTGAGCGAAACATGGCTGCTAAAGGCTGCTGTGTTCACGATCGTACATGTCATTCAGCGCACAAGTGCACATGTATGTGGCAACCTCAGCGGCTGTACAGTCCAGCCCAGCGGTTGCTTATGCAACTGAACCGGGCCATTCAGTGTGCTTGCAGGGCATACCGATCCAGCGCATTAATGCAGCAGTAACAGCCGCAAGCTCGGAAAGCTCAAACGTCTGCCACAGGCGCTAAGTAGATGACTAAGGCTCACGCTGGTGTGTGCGCCCGGTCTGAGGCGACGCCTCAACCAGCGACACAGCGAAGGGTCGTGCCTGGGAAGGTTCGGGCTTAGGCCGTCTGATTGACATTTGCCACATCTGATCTCCGGAATTGGAAGTTTGCTTCGGTTTGCTCTGGGAGTTCAGTTCTGCCTCTCGTCACATGCTGCCAGGCTTCGGCAGCCCAGCTGCCGAAACGAAGGACCTGCTCGTGTATGATCACGATCCACCCTGTATATGGATGCAGAGTGCTCGCGCCAACACGGATTGTGTGAGAGCGACAATTTCGGCAGCTGGCCTTGACGATGGTTTCAGCAGCCTTGCCCTGCAGCGGTTCGGAAAGAACACATTCGTGAGGCCACGTTGGATGCCCGAAGACAACAGCGTGATAGACCTCAGAATCCGCTGGCACACATGCTGCGTCGAGCAGAGGATCCCAACGCCGTCGGGGGCATGCACACTTTCACTTTTCAATGGACCTTGTGGGTTCTGTCATAGCTCCCGTGCTTTGCAAAAGTGATTGCCAAAAGCCAAGGCTTGCTCACACCAGAAGGCGATGCCTTGTGTTTAGAGAACGCAGGCACGTATGCACGAGCATCACGGGAGTTTGGTCAAGATGAACGGAACAGAGCCTTGCACAAACCAGAACTGCACGTCATAGTGCTTTAACAGAGGGGCTTGGAGCACCAACCTAGGGCTGGATACCTAGACGACGTTTCCAGGGCTGTCATAAATGGAGTCTTTTGGTGTCCAGGCAGGTTTCGCCCAAGCGCTGTCATCACATCGGTGGGATAGAGATTTTGACCTACTGGACCTCGCTTAGTCAGTGGAGTATATCATGCCCGTATTGAAAATTACACTACTTTCACTGTGATGTTCTGGAGGAGTAGCCGGTTGGTCCTGTCTGTTAGGATTGTTTGGGGAAATGCGGTTCATGCGTTCGACGAAACAAGAGGTCAAACTTTCGTCCTACCGCAGTAAGTGACGTTGCCGCGAAAGCTCAGCCGAATCACACAATGCCTGTCCGAAACGTGAGCAACTTCGCCAACTCCCGCACTGGCAATCAGGACCAGGAAGATTAGAAACAAATAAAGCAACTTGCTCGACCAGCTCTGTGCACAAAATGAATATGAGGATGCATGTCGGCATGGCGCTTCCCACGATTGATCACTCTTTCAGCAGCGGTGCTTTGCTGCTGACACATACTAGTACGGAAGCGTGCAGTAACAGACTGCCTGTCCATCCAACCCCGACATCCTTTTGTGTGAGTTGACAAAAACCATCAAAAACCGGCAAATCCTTCACACATTATGAAGAACCGGTCAGCTCGACGTCGAAAACAACCCTGAAGGCAGAATAGGTGCGCACCCTCAACCTTTCGAAACAGTCGATACGAGCCAAGCCACCTTCTTGACCTGCAAAGCAGCGCAGAGTGCTATGGGGATTAGATAGCGCATAGATCCGCAGAAGATGGTGGAGCAGCTGAAGCTCGATACGTGCAACTATGCTAGGTTTCCGTTCTTGCATCTTGTTCTGGAGAGACATTCTTCATGGCTTTTCACTGTAGTGCCTGACGTTTGGAAAACCAGCTCAGGCTTTGCCGTGCAGCATCGCGGTTCATCGCAAGGAGCAAAACACCTGGCACCGGGTGGAGGATTTGGAAACAATGCGGAGAGCATCTTCGCAGGAGAATGCATGCTGTACCGCACAGCACCGGGTGGTCTGTTGAGCCTGAGGTGCCATAATCGAGTCGATGACAGAGGCGAGGAGATTCATGGGGATAAGCGCCTGGAGGTGCAAGGACAAGTGAAGCAGATCGGCCGAAAAAAACCGACAACGGCCATGAATGCCCCAGGCCCCACACCCTCGCTATCCCTCGCCGGCCTCGCACCCAATCCATGAGTGGCAGGTCCTTCGGCAGCCGCTTCCTGAGAGGCTTAAGCCGGTCTGACTCTAGCGCCGGGCACTTTACCACGCTCGCTGTTAGGTGCTTCCTAGTTCAATGAGCATGGCAACGGCGCTCACAATGTTCAGACTGTTCTTCACAAGCATGATCGACTGTCAGACTTGATGAGCAAACTCTAAGCTGTTGTGGCGAGGGTCTTGTGGTACAGCAGCCTGTTGAAGGGCTTGTGCAATACCTCGTGTCGGGGGACTGGTGCTTTGTGCACTCTGCAATACTCTGTACAATGCTAGCTGTTAGGCCACCAAGCCACGACGAAGCCATGGCCTTGGCTCGCCCACACCTCGTCGTAGGATACTCTTCAATGCTGTGGCTGTCTTTCGTTCTCTGCAACTCTTCTGGCAGGCATGCGTTTGAATCACAGTTGACCTTGCGCTGTGACTGCTAAGGGCAACTTAAACCTTTATGGCCAGCGATGTTTCAGCCCCGTTGTAACCCACTCTTATCTGTGAAGACGAGGTCAACCAAAAGTGTCACGGCCACCATGGAATACTGCATCGTTAGTTGTAGGCATGCGAAGCACAGCCCAACGGCCCTCAGCCTCGTGCGGCATGAAATCACCCAAGCTCTCGGGGAAGCGGTCCAACAGCTGCAAGCAATGGCATCCTCATGAGGAGTCGCTGCTGCACAAGGCAGGGGGGTTCGCCCAACATGTCACATGACATTCACTAAGTCACTCCAATCTCGTTCCTGAACAGTCACGCCCAGCGTCGTGAGATTCGGCCAATGCTGGTCAGGTACGACCACTGCCTGACTCGTTTCGCGCACGCCAGACACTCAGGAAATCGAGCTTGGTGCTGTCACTCCCCCCGTTTCCGGCACCCGCATGCACGAAGCCTGAGCCGGGCCATGGCATCATCCCCAGTGGCCCACTGTAGAACCTGGAGACTGGTCGAGCACGGATGCACACGATCTGCTCGCAGGCCCGGTGTTTTCGGCAGCTTTAACCGTGCTGTGCTCAAGTCACGACTGTAGCAAGTGAAGCTGATGCCCCGGTCCTTGTCCACCATCTGAGGCTCTGAAGGTGAACAGAACAGTGCAGACAGACACCCCAATCTCAACAAACCCACCGAAGCTTGCTGAGGGTCTGGACAGGTCGAGTAAGGCTGAGCTTCAGAGCTCTGAAGATTCTGTCGAAAGACTAAACACCACGAGACCCAGAGACCGGACGAGAAGCTTTCAGGAAGTGAAGCGGCTCCAAACAAACGTCTTCAAGGATGCTTCCTTTTCGACCTCGAAACATGCTCAAGCATTGTCACCCTCTGGCCTGAGCTCCTGCAAGAGCTTGCAAAGGCTCGAGTGAGTTTTGTACCGCAGGCAGGCCTTTGCGGATTTTCAATGCTCAAAGAGAGAGAGAGAGAGAGAGAGAGAGAGAGAGAGAGAGAGAGAGAAACAAAAAAGATCAACGCAAAATGCCCTGCAAATCCGCAAATTCCCTCGTCTCTCTGGGCCCTGCTCGACCCGGAGTGTTTCAACGCATCAAACAGATGCCACAATGGAAGCAGCCCAGGTGCGGCGTACTTCCTCAATTTTGACAAGATAACGGTCAAAGTCGTGGGGCACCTCCACCGATGTCGGTTCCTGTCACGAAGCTGAGTTCACTCCGACGAGCTGCTACCATGTTCCGCCTGAATGCACGAAAGGTGTAAACAGAAGACCAAAGACGGAAGAGGTCGACGGTTCAACGTGCATTTTGAGAATCACGTCGGGCAGGCGTAGAGGTCTCAGGTAGTGTAAGAAGTGCTAAAGCAGCAGCGATCCGCCACACTGAGACCGAAGTCCAGAAGTATGAGCATGGAGCATGAAGCTTCAGCTTGTGAAATTGCGACGCCCAGGATGCAGAAACGCTCTGAGGAGATGGGGTCTTCAGGTCCACATACAGCAACGGGCAACGGGACATGCTTACGACGAGCCACCACGACTGCTACACAAGACTCGAATACACTCCCGCGATTTCCCCATGCACACGGGCATCGCTATGCTTTTGGTTGCGCGGCACGCCTTGACACGATCTTGAAGATCTTGTGGTTGCATGTGTGGCTCACTCGCAGTATCGCAAGATTGGGATTTTCGTAGGCCACTCGGGCTGTGATATCAGGGCCTTGACACATGTTGTCTTGCACCCTTGTAACCCCATGCCCGGCCACCTCCTCAAACAAGGATAGTTCCAGTCGCGTCAGGTGCAAGAACACCCGATAGCAATACAGCGCAGCATCTCCGAACGGTGTCCTCTGGGTTCCACATGTTGGGCTTTTGAGAATCACATCTGACATCATCTGACAGATTACTAAACAGTTGTGAAGATTGAGATGCTGCCATGTGAGCACCAAGACCATCCACGACCGGTTGCGAAGTATCTGGCTGCGTTGAGAGTGGACAGCCACACGGCGAAGTGGTATTGTGCCAAGTGTCTCTGGCATGTCGGCATGGCGAACGTCTCCCAAGACCGGGTGGCCTGTTGCCCGGAGGTGCTCCTGTCAGAGGCGCTACAGCACAGACAGTGTCGAAATCCATGCATTGGCAATGAGACAGCTTGAGTGTCTTGAGAGAGTGGGGGCAAGAGAGCGGTTGGCGGTTGTGTGCTTTCTGCCTCAAAAGCGGTCCGGCCTGGATCTGATGCGTGCGCCCAACCTTAGGAATCCAGTGCTGGATTTCGGAGCTTCCGGGGTGAACGGTTGGAGGTTGCAAGCCCACCTCCTTGCAGCTGCGTGGCCATCGTCCAAGCCTCCACAAGCGCGATCGGCTGCGGTTCTGTGCCGCCGATGACCTGGACTGAACTGGCAAGGCGGCCCGGTGGAAGTTCGTAACGTCCAAGCAGCTTGTAAAGACTTGGGATAGTCTGCCAGTTCGGCTCCGAGTAACCGCCCAGAATCCTCGCCGCAGGGTCTTGACCCACGTCCAGGGCCGCCCTCCTTTCACCTTCCACGCCAAATTTCCGCAATTCAAGCTGGGAGATGTAGCTCGAGAAGCTCCGCTTTGACGAGTCACAGCACATCCGTCAGTTCAACAATCTGCTTGATCATTGATCAGTCTCTAAACGGACATCAAAGCCCATAGCAGTGGTACTTGGTATCATGTGGCACGTCGGACTCCAGCTCTACAAGTTTGTCTCGGACAATCCGACAATCTCCCAACCCTCCCAATTCCCGCCGGGGTGTTGAGATTTGCCTCGTCCCAGCCTGAGGCTCCAAACGATCCAAAGCTTGATCCACGCTCTCCGGACTACACGCTTCAGCTTGAGTCTGTTGCTGAAGGGGAGCAGGCTCAAGAGATCGAGACTGGAGCTGCAACAGCTCTATGCAACAGTGGACTCAGTGGACACAAGTGGAGGCCTGTTCAGTATTCCGTGCTGAGTTGCTCGGATGACCCAGAACCAGGGCGTGGAAGACTCGCTTCACCTGAGTTGAAGATATCTGAAGATGGTCTAGTCTCGTCGAGTTGCCAAAGCGGATGTCACCCTTCTCTGCCGGTCTGCCTTGCCTTGTGCCCCTGGAACTGGAGCTTGAGACTTTGCAGCCTCTCGCTCTTGCTTCCCATGAGCAGCACCTGCAGGGGTGAAACGGCAGCTGTGCACAGCATGCTGACGACCATAGCCGGACCATGGCCATAACGGCCATAAGGTCATGACCGTAAGGACGGCTCCGAATCGTCGCCTGGGGCCCGGGCTCCGGAGACTTCCTCTTCGAGGCTGTGGCAGATCTGGATCTTCTTCTGAAACTCGAAACGGAACCAAGCCTCCACCTAGAAAAGATGCACCAGGTTTCGAACATCTTGGCAGGAAAAATCGGGAACTGAGCCTAAGGCCGTCTGCTCAAATTCGAAGGCTTGCTCCTCGCAGGCTGTACCGAGGCTGCTTCCGTGTGCTGGTCTCAGCCCGCCTTAGCGAAGCAGCGAACGTTGCGGGGCTTCGATGCCGCCACGATAATGGGATGCTCGGAGACATGTCGGACCGCAACCTGGATCGACATTCGATGGACGCTCAGTGAAGATGCTGACTTGGGAAGACTTTCGTGAACCCTGAGACCTGATCCCTCCAGCCTGATGCGTGCGACACCGCCCCGGCCCGGGTAACCTAAGGCCGTCCCGAACCTAAACCCCGAAAGAGTCCGAAGGTCTATGTCGCGATCCCTCGTCTGCGGTCTCAGGCACGATGTCACTGTCCAGCAGACATTCTGGGAACGTCTCCACAAGACGGAGAGCTTGCTCGTGGGATATCTTGCCTTCGTTCGATTGTAAGAAAAATAGAACACGATGATCGATGTGCATGCAGCAACAACAGGAACACATTGGGGATGCTGTCAAGACTGCCATGCCCCCTCGAGCTCTCGCCTCGTCGCAGCCAGAAGTCCAGCTGCGAGGTGCGCTTGGCCGAGTCAGCATTGACATCACCTGCTCGAGGTCTTGGGAGCATCTATTCGCAGCCTTGCATATGACCGGAAACTAATGTCTCTCAGGCTGGATGATGAGGCTGCGGACGTGGATGAGCATACAGGTAGGTCCGAGATTGCTACTGCCGATGGTGAGAATGATGGTGATAATAATGATGGTGACAATGGCGACGGTGTTGATCGTCATAATAGTCAACAACGCGGCCCCAACTATCGCACTCCGCGGGGAACCTCGCAGCTGGTTCCAGCGCCCTTCTGCATCGGCTGCACATGTGCCGGAGCTGGGCATGCGCCACAGGCCATAGCACTGCTTGGCAAACACTGTAGTCTACACCGAAGTTCATGGCTACACTGTGCAACAACACATCAAGATGAAGTTCGCAGCTGAAAACACGAGAAGTAAGCATGCCTCTTGTTTCGTGTCACGTTTGCACAGCAAGCGTCTTCGCCAGGCTCCGGGGGACGGCGAATTTCGCACAGGCATGAGTGGCGAGAAAAGTGCCGACTGCCAGCTGCCAGTGCTCAGAAACTTTACCCTCGTAAGCTCGGAACGAATAAGGAAGGCCACCAGCATGTAGGAGATCTTGGAGGCAAAAGAGCGCTTGCGAGAGCCCCTCTCACTGCTTGGGTCCGCTTGGGTTCGGGCAACATTGTGCACGTTCCTGGCACCAAGGAGCCGAACTTTCCGAGGTCATGTCGCACTTACAGGGAGCCCGTCCTGTTCGGAGATGGAGCTCCCACCAAGTTGTAGTTCGGGCGAGGCCTCGACTACAGCATCCTTCTCACCTTCTTACATTCAGAATTGTCGCAGCTCCGCGAAACAGAGTCCGCTGAGATCAAAACACCAGCTCCACCGACATCACGGAGCCTGACAAGACCCAAATCTACCCTGATCCGGAATGTGTAATGTCTCGCACACATGATGAAGATGTGCTGGGAAGCCACTCTTGGCTTTGATCAACATTTGTGAAACCGAAGCAATCCGAAGCTCAGCCGTGGAATACGACTGGGCCATCCCGAATCTGCCAACTCTGCCTCAACGCTTCAGCTTCTGCTTTGGACTCTGATTTCCCTGCTCTCTCCGCGCAGGCCATTGACCAACCCGCACATACAAATACAACATTCCTTCCGGGATCAAAGACGTCTCAAGCCCGCGAGAAACATGAGTGTTTGCGGGTTGGGTTTGAAGCCCTCAACAAGCGATGCACGCGAGCGTGCTCGCATCTGCTCTCACACTCGCAACCACGGCACCTTGGCTGCTTGGAAGCTGGTCGCATTCCGCAGTGACAATGTCCTGAAGCGGTGCTTGCTGCATATGCCGTCACACCCCCCATTTCCCTTCCCACTGCGCCTCCTGCGTCCGGCTCCACAAAGTTTTGCAGCCCTTGTTGGTCCATCGCTGGATCGGATCCGCCTGAAGACTCCCACGGAAGGAAATGCTGAGAAGTTCCCTCCAAAGAGCTGCTTTGGAAGACTTGTCAAGGTCTCAGTTTCCAATTTGTTCAGCAGATCGCATGAAACTCCGAAGAAGACGGTACTCAGTACATCTCATTGCGCAAGCCTTTGCACCCACAGATTCTTGCCGCGATGGGAAACCCGTCCTGAGCACTTATACCGGGTCTTTCTTCCCACCAGGCCACACGATACCTGGGCCGGCCCCATGTCCCCCACACAACACAAACTGAATCATGTCGTGCTCGCAAGCTCACAGTAGGGACAGTAGGCCCAGCACGGGGCGGTGTCACGAAAGCCCCATCGGCGGTCACGCACCACACTGGGATCCAGCCGGAAAGTGAGGTCGATCTTGGTTGCAAACACAGCACGAGAAAGCTTGCAGCCATTTGGCCCACCGGCCTGTTTTCAACAACTCGTTGAACAGCCAATAGTGAGTGCAGGTTGCAACAACTGGATGCAAATTTGCGATTCGCAGGCAAGAAATGCCTGATGAGCAACACATAGCATGCCGGCAAGTTCGGCCTCCATTCTAAGATGTCCATACCCTTCGACCAAATCTGGGTCAGCTGCCTTGCCGATTTGCTCCTGACACATGCATGAAGCATAACACAAGTTCGGCAAAGGCTGACTTGCGCGGTTTGCGGCGACCTCCACCACTACAGGCTGGCCGCAAGACCGCAGCTGAATCGTGTACCTGGCTGCAGCTTGCACTCGGAAGGAATTGAGACACGACCAACCCTGGAACACTGTGAGCTCAGGTTAGATTCGCATCGAATACTTGCTCGGCTGATACCAGTTATCCCCATCTGGCGCACGGGACAGTCACACTGGCATTCTTCCCCAAGTACGTTCCCGTGGCATAGAGAAATGGATTTATCGGCCAGGAGATGGTTGTCATCTCGGCGATGCAGACTGTCAGAGTGAGCTCGGGCAAAGTTAAGCTGAGGCTGCGGCAGTGATGGTCTGCAGAAAACCCTCCTGTGCCTCCTGGCACTGGATATCCTCGGCGAGGGAACACAAGAAAATCAGTCACCTCAGGGTTGATCCCCTTTGTGATTGTTGTTCTCGGGGCGCCATGCGAGCTGCAAGGCTTCGGGCGAGGCCGAATCTGCAGATCTCTGACTTCGTAGGGTTCTTCTGATTTCATCTCACAGGCTTAGACCGGCCAGTCGTTCCAAGTGACTTTCGCTGCTTTCTCTGGCTACACTAGCGTTTTGCCGCAGGACGGTCGCGAGGCTCGGGACCGGGCATCTGGGTTAGCTTGGATACCCTTGGATCCAGCCCAGGTCGTTCCCATGAAGCCCGGTGGGCCGAGGCCTGCAGTGCTCTCCGCAGACTGCACAGCGGACTGCAGATGCAGCGGACTTCGCGAGTGCCTGCTATGTTGATTTGTGGATAGATCCAGCCTCGCGAGGTGAAAGCGCTTAGATCTGCCATCAAGATAGGCAACTCCTTGTGAGCAGCCAACACTCAGGCGCGTGCGCTGCATGCTCTGGTAGTCCGGTTGTGTCTGGACCTCGTCTTCACACACGCAACATTCGACTTGAATCCTGTCTGCCAGGGCAAAGAGATGCAAAGGGCATGTCGAACAGTGCAACCCCGACTACCGGACTGACAGCCATCATTTCCCTTAACACCCTTCCGTGCAGACACCCTCACCCTGCCACCGTTTGGATTGAGAGCCTGCCGCATAGTGGTAAAGAAAGCAGGATCGCACAGGCATGCCAAGCTCTAGACATCGCCCTTTGCTAGCTATGAATCAGAAGTCTTATGCAGCATCATCCAGCTGCGCAACCTGCCGAGGAAGACACGCCATTCTGGATGATGTCGAGCAGGGGCTTCTTGATGATGGTCACGACGAGGTCGCCATCTTTGCAAAGCAGTGTGTGTTGGGAAAGATGGTAGAAGCAGCGGTTGAGCAAACAGCGGACAGCAACAAACGACTCAAACACTTTAGTTGCTTTAGATTAAGGCTTCGGCCCACAGAGTTGAGGAATTCGGCTTTGGGCATGGCCTGAGCGCTACAGGGTCAAGCCCGCTGAGAGCTGGTCAACTCCGAGACCCAAGGTGGCGGCCTGCTTGATGGCACTTGGCGGACCATTCGGTTCTGCAATCGCAGCCATGACCTCACTGCTTGGACCCGCCACCAAAGCAGCTTGTCCAAAAACCGCCGTCGTCTGGCAACTATATCTACGAGAGGCCAACACCGGACACTGCAACTAGAACACCGGACACTGCAACTAGAGCAGCCTGGTAGTTACCCCTGACTCTTGACACATTCCGACCTTCACACCTCAGGTTTGGCCGTGCATAGAAGCATCTGGGGCCCCTGGCATCGCCCAGAGCGACAGCCGTTTCAATGATCTCCACGGAAAGCCGGGCCTGGCTCGCAAGTGCCCGCAGTTAAAAAGGCCAGGACCAAATCGGTACACGCCTGCACGTGCTCCGTGATGTTGGGTTCCACTATGCCCTCCCGCCATCGGTCAATAGGCCTGGCAACGGGTGCGAAGGCTTTGCACTGACGCTTCCAAGTTAAACCTGGAAGGCTATAGCATGTCTAGCATACAGTAACAGACGTGGCAATCGCGCAGCAAGCGACTGCCAGTGCATGCTTGTGCATTCTGGTCGCGTGCTGGTAGTTTTAGGCACCCGATCTAATCGAAGAACGGCAGCAGCAGCAACAACAGAACGCGAGCAGCAATATCTGTAACCAAAGTCAAGACGAACGATTTGCCACCTTCAAACTAGCTGGGCTAATGTGCTGGCGACAGCCCAAAAGAAACCGCCGCACAGCAGCCAGGCAGCCAACCCGACTCCTATCTGGAGCTTGGAGGCTGATTCGGCCGCTCGAGCTGTAACCAAGTCACGTGACGGGCTAACACCGACACATGCGCATCCGATGTGTTGTGAGTCAACATTCACGACCAGCCTTGCGCTGGCCAGCAAATAGGACAGTGTCTTGACCAGGTCCTTCGAACGTGAGCACCTAAAGAACAATGAAGCTCGACGTCTGTCGCATGTTCTCCTGAATACAGATGCTTGCTACTATGCTCACTCTGCAGCACTCCTCTTTCCATGTATCCACTGCTGAAGCTAGTGGCAACTACTAGTAAGACCTGACTTGTTTTTTCTCCCAGGCGTTTTCGTCCTGCGGCGCGTTGCCAGCCTTCCTGGAAGGGAGCCGACACCGGCAGAATGGAAGTGGAGTGGAGCTATCTTAATATATAGCCTCGCCGCCCTACATCGACAAAGCTTTGTCAGTCGTATAGCGAACGTCAGACAAGCACCTGGAGATTCGAGCAAGAATCAAACTGCACAACATGCCTGATGTCTCCGCGAGAGCTCCGGATGCGAACCACAAGGCCTGTGTTACATCACGCTGCATCAATGAAACAGCATAATCTTTGGATGGAGACCTTTGCCGTCTGTCGTTTCCGGGTGACCGGCCAGATGTCAGACGGCCCAGGTACACGAAAAGCTCGGGCTCATCGATGGGAGCCAGATTCGAAGCCTCGTTGTGACTCATGCTTGCATGGATTCACTTGTTTGGGAGCCGCCTGGACTGCCAATGCGCCAATACAATACGGACTTGAGGAACAGATCCGGAAGGGCTCCGGAGACACCAAACACATCCAGAATCCTCACAGATCAGGGCGAAGGTGGATCTGAACGGCCACCTCCGCCCTGCAACAGTGAACCGGAGCGACGACGAACTCAGAGGCACTGGCCAAGTGCGCCAGGGCGGAGGCAACCACCTGCAAAATTGGCTACCTACGCAGAAACCCGGTGAAGACTGCACGCACCGAAGCCCAACAGCACCTGAAGGAATGTCGCCAAGATCTTGCAAAAAATTGGTCGGATCGTTAACCAGATTGGAATTCCAACATCGCCAGTCTGTAACCCCTTCAGCCGGCCTGCTTTGTTGACACCAGCTGCTAGCTATTGCTGTGCTGGCCTCTGCATGGAGAGGAGTGGATGTGTTCGACGTGGTGTCCTGGAAGTACTGCTCCTGCGAAGATAGTCTGTCGAAAAAAGCAGAAAGACCTAGGCTGAAGCCGTTAGATCGGCCCAGCTCCAGGCAGTCGGTTGCTCGAGGACCGAGATTCGACGAACATTCCCGGCAAGTCAAGGGGCGGCTACACGGTTTGCTGAATGCCCCTTACTGGATCCCGCGTGGAAAGCTCCCGGGATTCTGCACCGTATGCCCTGCATAAACACTAAAATCTTGCACTACTAGTACTACTGGTACTTCTAGACTCTTACAATACTGGTGGTAATAACTGTCTTAGTGAACTAATAGTGTTAACAATAACATTAGTTACAATAGTAATAGCACTACGGTAAGTACGCCAAAAATGCAAATTCGCCGGGAAAAGATAACTTTCGCGGCACCATCGCGATTTTTCGCGAAGCCATATGTAGCTGTGCAGTTGCCGTTTCATACAAATTATGCCACAAGGAGATTTAGATCAACTACCATTATGCAATTATGCACTTCCACTGTCGTGAGCAAAGTCGTTCGGGCTGTGCAGCGATGAACATGTCGTCATCAAGGCTATGCGGGACACTTCAGGATTGGCAGTCCTGCAGCCGCCGACTTTGCGTGGTCTCTGCACCCAAGGAATCCGGCTCCAGGGCATTCACGATGTCATTGAGCGCCTCGGTGCCAAGCTGTCATTGGACAAATTGTTGACTTGCTAGCTTGTTGCCCCTCGAGCCCATTGGACAAGTCAATTCTTCACTGTGCAATCAGGAATCGTGCTTGGCAATGACATGATGGCAATGCTTAGCTAACAAGGTTTTCAAATGGGACGGACCCATCAAAATTGACAGTCATTGTACGTCGCGCTCGTTGCACTCCCTCCGATATTCGCCCAAGGCCCGTCTATTTAACAACTTCATTGTCAGAGTAAACCGCAGCTCACGTCACCCATGCTTCACAAAATCGGAAGCCACAAGCGAGGTCAGAAATCTGGACATAAAGGCTGGTAAATCCAAGTCGAGTATGACTGAAATTATACGTCTCCGGAAAGGATCCAACGTAGTCTGTGACAAGTGCTCCGCTGGAAAGCAAACTTTGGCACCGTTCCGTGGTTTGGAGCGCTATTGCGATCCGAGCTGCTCCCATGATGTCAAAGAGGTATGTTACCACCTGTCACTCAAAAAATGCAAGAGCAAAGGTGACCTCATTCAAAACACACGAGATCAGGCGAGACTTCGTGACTTTTGCGGAGAACCTGAAGTAGCCATTTGTGATGAAGCCCTGGATTCTCCTGTGCAGTGTCGAGGGGCTTCTTCCCGTGTCTCACGCGAGACAATCGGAGCCCCGTAGATAGGCTGCGAGAGGTTCGGCATGGGCCTGCGAGCAGAGAAAGCCAGTTTAGACTGAACATCGTTGCAGTCTTGTTGTTGATGCTGAGTTCAGAACAGGCCGCTGGCGGCGTTCCATTCCATCATGGACCTGACAGCCAATGAGATGTCATCACCCGGGTGACGAATCCTGCCTGAAGTCGTAGTCGTACATGCTGGGAAGCTCAAAGACCGCAGCACATACCTACCGCACGAGGGCTGGTCGAGAAGTCCAGCGACTGAGTGTTGTCGATGACTCCGACCTGACCCTCCTTCCCGAGTTCTCCGAAACTAAGAAAGCGCTATACAAACCTTGGGCATGACAGATTGAACCAAAATGGCACACAGCAATCAGCACGAAGCTTTCCACGAAAAGGCTACCGGCAGCTTCCACCCCGATGTTGTAGCGCTGGGGCGTGCTGGAACCACGGAGACAGATCCGCGGTTGAACGCCCGGACCTTTCCGGAGGAGTGGAGTAACTGCTGCTGTTTCTCAATTGTGCCGCATCTTGCGAAGACGCTTGAACAGACGTCGCTTAGTAGTGCTGATGCTAACGCTGATGATTGCTATGATGGTGATGGTGCTGTATGATTATGATGATGATGATGATGCTGCTGATGATGCTGATGCTGATGCTGATGCTGCTGATGATGCTGCTGCTGATGCTGCTGATGATGCTGATGCTGATGCAGATGCAGATGCTGATGACTATGATGCTGCTGATGACGATGGCGATCATGATGGTGACGATGACGACGATGACCATGCCGGCACTGGTACTGGTCCCGATGGTGATGGTGATCATGAAGATGACGATGATGATGCTGGTGTTGGAGATGCTGATGAGGTGGAAGGAGGATGACTTGCGGCGTCGCTCGGTTGCTTCTTGCTGGGGCGTGAGCAAGATGGTAGGCAGTTGAAGGAAATTCGACAAACTACTGGGAAAGACAGAAACCTGACATCGTTTCAGGCGTGTCAAGTCTCGTCCACAGTCCAGCGGTGGGAAGTGCATCCTGCTTGTAAGCACAGAACCAGACATGGCTGAAGCACCCGCCTGCAGAATCGCTTGGCGTGACCGTCGTATATACTCCTCCACAGCTTCGGTGCTTGCAGAAGCACGGCTCGAGTCAATACTGAGGACAAGCTTTGGGCACGCAGCTGCGGATGCAGCCTGTGATCATCTCACCTGCGGCCTTATCCTTACTTAGCCTTAGACCCTGTCAAGAGGTCCAGAAGCGAAGTGACGCGATCGTAGGATGTGACCACTCTTTCTTCGTAGGCCTTAGCGAACGGGCCGTCCCCTCATTGCCGGTAGCGCTGTCACTGTTCGAAACGTCTTGCTCAACGGTTCCCAACTCTTCCAACAACATCTGGCAACTACTGGCGAGCATGTCTTGCTGGCACAACTCTGCTGGTGCTACTACCAGCAATCACTATGGAACCGGGTTCTTACCGGATGGGTATGCCGCCTTCTACGCACGTATTGGCTTCATCAAGCACAACAATAATAAGTTTGCCAGATGATCAGCCTCTAAGTTGACTCTGTTCGAGAGTCGGCTTGCAAGCCGGCATTCTTCCCCGCCCTTTCGCGCAACGGGGTCCCTGCCGGATGTGACCAAGCAACAGAGTACCGTTTGGCCTCCATGGTCAGGTCAGCTCAGGCTTCTGAGTGGGCCAGAACTTCTGACGGAGACAGACACGGAGACACGTAGAGAGAGGCTGAGAGAGGCGAGGGGGGAAGGACGGAGGGACGGAGCGGACGGGACGAACAGACGACGGGAGACCAAGAGAAAGGAAGAGAAACACAGTTTGGCATGTTGCTTATGAAAGTGCATGCGCAGGGTCAGATGAGTGGACAGCAGAGTGAGCACTACAAATTCAGGTTGAGGAGTGCTTGGGGGTTCGCGGTCAGGTTAGGTCTTAATGATATTCACTCTTCCGCAACCTCCGTATAAGTGTTGGGATGTGTGGGGATTGGGGCCTGTGGGGAAGGCCGCCTGCAGATGGAACAACGATGGAACGGATTAATTCGAACTGTGTTTTCGGTCTGAGGCTGAGGAGCTTTGTGGGTTCTCTGTGGACTAGAAGCCTCGTGGACTTCGAGTGCATCGCTGAGCTGAGATGGCAGGAGAAGCGCCCAGAAGATGGAGGATGCGTTCTGGAATGAATTGATGCAACACCTGGCCTCAACCCCACTGGCATCTCGCGCTCTGCCTCGACAGGCACGGTTGGTCTGTGCTGTCACAGTCTTGACTTCGGACTTCGGATCGGAGGCTCAGCTTCCAGCCCTCGAAGACATACATGCCTTGCTTCAATGGCCTTGGCAATGCAACATGTCTTGCCCACCAACCCAGACTAGCGTCCTGGTCTGCAGATGCGACTGCAAATTAAAGACCTCCGCATCGCATCCTCAGTATTTACAGTCCTTGATTGTCTCCTGGACTTATGTCTTACTCTTCTGCTCTCCTCTCGAGCATGTTTCATAAGTCCTCCACAGTGCGAGCGTGGGTGACATGGACCAGTCCTTGGGACTACGCTTGCCGAAAACTGCCACTGTGACACAAAGCAAGCGAATTGAACAAGCGTCTCTTTGCGTCCTGATGCGTTCTGCTCGACCCTAGGTCCGAATGATGCTAGGCAGCTGACGCTAAGCGGCACCATTGCTCCGTCCGGGACGAGGGAGAACCTCGCCAAATCCGAACTGCACGTCACTTCAACAATTTGGTTGGTTCGGTGCTCTTGGGGTTCGTCGAAGCGCAGTGTGCTTTGCTACGAAGTTATTTGCTCGTGAAGACTTGTGTGAATGGGCTGGCATCCATTACGGACTGTTGCGGCTGGCTCTCATAGAAAAAACTCATGAAGCATGCTAAACTGCAAGATTTGAGGCTACTGCTGTGAGCACTCCTCGAGGCTGTACTGGCAGCCAATGACATTTCTTGGGACCCGGCAAGCGCTGGTCCGTGAAAATGTCAGTCTCAAAATTCCGGAGCTCGACCTCGACTGGACGAATTTAAGGCTTCGACCCATCCGATTTTCTCCCGAAGACTCCACCGGGAACGCCCCGACGACTTTCTGCGTGAGGCTGGCACCAGGAATTGCTCGCGCCTTTCCTCCGGGACCTGTCGCTTCCGCCAAGATGCCGACCGAACATCCAAGCAACTCCCAACCTAAAACTCGAAAGCCCTATAGCCTCTGAAGTCTAAACCCTCTACCGTCGGCTCTCTTGCCGTGGTTATTGCCCAAGCCCTAAAGCTCTGAAAGTAAAACCCGATGCCCTTAGCCCGAAACTTGCAACCCTTCGAACCCTAGCCCTAAGCCCTGCACTAACCTGTGGAGTGCTTGAATCGTGCGTGCCTCGAATCGCATTGCAGCATGCGTTGTACTGTACGCTCACTTTGGTGAACTCCAGATGCAATTGAGGCCGTGGATGTGGCCGTTTGCTTCGTGATGAAACCGCAGTGCGGTTACGACTCGACAACAAGCTCGGAAGGGACACTTTAATGCCGTCTAGGCCTGTGAACGGCGGTTCCCTGCCTCGCCGTAGTAGAAGGTGTACTCCAGAGGCGGGTTCTGCAGTGGCTTTGTTCGCAACAGCAATGCTGCAGAATGATCAGGATAGGAGCACCCATCACCAAAGCAGTCGGCATAAAAATCATCAAACTTTTCTAGTAGCCACTCGCACAGATAAATGTGCTGAGACCAGGACGTCTGTGGCCCATGCTTGCTGGAGACGAAACACATCCTCAATCCGCTTGGTCAAAGGCAACCATCCAAACCTTTCTGAAAACTGGAAGCGCAGCTCTGTTGCAAAAGATTTCTGTAATGTCCCCGATGAACTCAATTCCGGGCTCCAGGACGCTAGGACCCCGACCGACATGGCGATTCCAATGCGTCCCATGGGGTCGAGCCTGCGAACTCAGAGAACGGTCGGGTCCGGCGAAACATGCGGCTTGACCGAAGGTTAACTATCTAGCCGCCGTCATGCCAACACTGCCGAAGGCCCCAGCACATCCAGACTGCCAGCTGTTGGGCCCCAAGGGATGTTGAAAACTTCCTGCACGAAGAGGCAAGCGATATGGAGGTTCTGTAAATTGGAGGCAGCATGCAAGTGCTCTCTGTGGCTGTCCGAATCCACTTGGAGGATGCCAAGATCCACCCTGAGTAGGCTGCCGAAACAGGGGTTCTACGGAGATTGCGGAGAGTGAGGGAGAGAGGACGTAGGAATGAGCAAGGGAAAAATGGAGGGAGAAGTGACTGTGACGGACGGAGATGATGTGAGAGGGAGCAAATACTACGGGAAAAGAAGAGAGAGAGAGAGAGAGAGACAGAGAGAGAAAGAAAGAAAGAAAGAAAGAAAGGAAGAAAGAGAGAGCTACAGAGCCAGAGGCAGAGCACCAGGGGCAGTGACGGAGATGCAGGGAGGGAGCGGGCTGTGCTGCTTGGGGCTCATCGAATCTTCAGGCTCAAGCGATGTAGGCTCCTGAATTTATTCATAGGAAAACAGTGGTACTGCGCCCATCCGAATCCTACGTGTCTAGCTATCGTCTAGCTCAAAGTGATCGACGCTGCCAAGGTCTTTAAAGGTGTTTATAAAGTTTGAGATGTTCTTGTGGTTGGATTCGTCGGTGTGAAATTGTATCTATTCTTCTGAGCACTGCTTTGTGGCCACAGCTGGAGAGGCTCAGCAGCTAAGCACCGGGATCTTTCCCCCACAATATGGGACCAGAAACTCAATGATCCACACTGAAGGCGTAACCATATGCCATAGACGAACACTCTTGCCAACTCTGGAAAGACGTGTCCGACCGAGGGTTTTGCGGATTCGTGGCGGGTTCCGTGTCCATGTGGCGCCCTGCGGCCTCAGGCAAAGCATGTCGCTGAGCCGAGCAGGGCCTCTTGTGAAAAGAGACTCCAAGCGGCCGCTGCGCCGGAGCATTGCTTTAGCTCTTGCAACACCGTGCGCTTCGCGATGGAAAGAACTGAGGCAGCTTCAGTCGTCGAATCTTTGCCGGCCGCCAAGAGCTTCTCCTTGACAAAGCAGGACTGGAAGTCGAGATGGCCACTTGCAGCATCGCATAGCACCGGAAGTGTAGCAGAAGCCTTGTATGCCGTGAGCTCGAATGCTTTTTTCCGCCTTGGCCAGACAAAGGCCAGTCAAAGTGAGCCAACCATCCCAAAGAGCTGAGCTTCCAGCCCCGCTGTGAGAAGCCTGCCCAAAGACACAGCAGCTTTCGGTTGCGAGAATCCAAGACGCCGCTTTCTACGACGGGCTCGACATTTCTTGGGCTCAGCCTCAGCCCTCGCAGCCCTTGGCCTGGCCTGTAAGAGTAGATGAAGCCCTTCTCCAGATCGGCGCGGTCTGCTTCCACGTACAGCCAGAGCCTTGAACTCTACGCTGACACGAGGGCCAAGCAAGAACTCCCGCGGCGCGAAGGTCGATTTGGGGACGGGCGAGTTGGCAACACCGCCAGCCATGTCCTGGCAATGAAATGCTGAACACGTGCCGATGCCTGTCACGACCACGGCCAACCTAGAGCAGCAAAACTCGCACATGCCCATTCCAGCGCGCCTTGACTCGGTTGGTGAAGGTGAGCTGCAAGGAGTCAGGTGTGAGAGCTTCACAGAGAATGTAACTCAGCACTCTGTTTTGTTGCTGCTCCATGTCTAAAGCCCTGCCTCTTTGTATGCCCTCATGTAATTTCGCGGCTGACCCAAGATGCCACGCATCAGAAGGATCCTCAGCCCGCCGACTTTGGAAGCGAAGTCCGACTGTCAGAGACCATCAGCCTGTCACGAGAAACCAGGCAGCCAACATCGTCCTCGCATGTGTACCTTCCATGTCCACCGTGGGAACCTCAAGCTTGCCGACTGCGGGAGACAAATGCAGCAAGCGCGGACTCATGCAGCAACGCTTCTGAAGAGACAGGCCAGTTGCACCCCACGGCGACGGAAGGCAACGCAGGGACTTCGAATCTACGAAATACTGACATAGCTCCAATAACTCTGGCACTATTGTAGCTGTAGCTCTAACCCAAGCCGATGCTTGCATTGCAGCTTGCTGAGAGTGGAGCCACACATGCGCCGAAGCCCACCTGTTTGAAGATGGTCTGAACCTGGGCACAATGTGGGCACGGCAACGAGAAGCCAAGCATCTCGCCTGATTCGCCTGCCAGCACCTCTCGGGAAGGAGCCGAGCCCGTCGGACCGACCGTCCCACTGGGACCGTCCACACTGATCACAGGGACGTCAGCCTCCCGGATAGAGTGCACCATGGAGCATCTGAATGCGGAACCGCTGAACGTAACGCTAGGTTTCGGAAATGATCACATGAGACACCCAAGCTGTGTGATGGCATACCATGCAGGCACCAAGTAGCATGTCCTGTCCTTCTTGTCCACCATCACTGTCGCACTGGCAGATGAAACTAGACCTGCAGCGCCAAACAGATTTGCAATGGTTTACGCACGCATGGCATAAGGCTTCGCTTAATCGGCATTGCACCAAACGCAAGGATCGTCCAGTCACCAAGCAGGGAACTGGGATAGAGAGCATCATGGACCTCCACCGTGAAGACGTAAAGGCCTGGGAAGCTCATGTCAGCTATAGAAAGCAGCGCTGAAGCTTGCAGGAAACAAACATCAGGTTCCTAGGTCCTAAGTGCCAGCAATAACAGTGCAAATGCTCCCCAGCGCCCCACCTTCGCGGTAAGACAAGGTGCGAATCTGCTTCGAATCTGTTTCCGCCGAACTAACCCAGCATGGAGAAACCGGAGCGCCGCCCAAACCCATCACCCACACGTCGTCTGTAGAATGACACTCCACTCCCTTTTGGTGCACGGCCTTCTGGCAGGATCGCCTCACTTTCGACAATTCAGAGGATCAGTTTCTCGCGTCAAACGTCCGAGAATATCCATGGATCTGCTTGTGCATGCGTTGTATGATGCAGCCCACGAACTTCTACAGTTCCCTTTGATTCTTAGGCTCCGAAGACCATCGCATTGCCAGGATTGGGGGAAACGCGGCCCGACGTGTTTTGCATTAGTTGAGAACTCATCTGCCTTCTACGCCGAAACCTTGGATGCAGGATGTGATAGGTGCTGTTTACATTGTTGTTCTCGAGCATGAAAGGCTGTGTTACTATGCCTGATACACAGTTGTAAACACAACCTTGTGCTCAGCATGGCACTAAGCACGAGGGCATGCTGAGCAGCTAGTGACACAACTTCCGCTTGCCAGACACTCCACGCGATCCCAAACGGCTCCGCCTGCGGAACCAGCAGCTGCGAGCCCGTGAAAGCTTCGAGATCGATCAAGGCCAAGGCAACGTTGGGGACCTCGGATTGGGCACCACTGACGGAACAGACACATGCGCTCACGAAGAAGTGGAATAAAGGCCGAAGATGCTGTAAGCTTGGAGCACGAAGGAATCAGCTCTTCTCGTGCAGGCCAGTGACGGTGTACACCAGGGCATCGTCGGTTCCCAGTGCCAACTGGCGGACTCGCCACCTGAAATTTTGCACAGCATATCCAGACATAGTGTGAAGGGGGCATGTCAGGGCCTAAGATATCACAATGCCCACAATGCTTGCCTCTGCTTTTACACTTTAGATTGAGAGTACGGGCAGATACCGTGAATGCACTGCATCACCCGAGGACCCAGCGAATACTGCAGGCCCATCACCGGCGCCTCGCTCAGACGATTTCGGGGTCTATTGAGGCTGGATCATTGTGAGTCGTCTTTGGGCATCGTGGCCTGCAGTGTATACCTTATGCGAACGCTAAAAGCACAACAGATGCCATTTCTACCTGCCCCCTGAATACACCTCGTCGCTTGGAGATTTACAGATATGTCCCACTCTCGAAACTGAGGGGCACATGATGGCACGCGTTACACGTACAGGAGTCGCTCGCTGCCTGGGCCGGAGGCGTCTGATTTGCCTCAAGCGCGGGAGATTGATTGCGAACTTCGGCGAGCTCTCGTGTTGTAGCGTCTCACAACCAAGCCGAAAGCAGAACCCCAGTGCCGAAATCTCTCATGGCCTGAAGACGGCGGCCCAACGTCTCTGTAGTGAACATGAGCTCACGCGCCATGCCTTCGCTCGAGTGCAATAGGAGCTCGTCTAGTTCCATCGGCATGTCTACAGATCATCACCAGACGATGCCAATACGAGACTTTCTCATTTGTGGTTCCTGTGAAGTACTGACGATTGACAAATTCCGCAAGCCGAAAGCTGGATGGACCATCCAAGTAACTCTCGGAAGCGTCCAGTGCAAAGGAGCAGTCGTCGTTGTTTGCGCGGTGGGGTCCCACGAGGCTGGCCTCAGCAAGGGTGAACCAAAGCGAAACCCAGTCTTTGAAGCCGTGGCTCCACTGCAACCGAGGAAGTAAGTTCACGAGCGCCAGAAGCATCATCCCCTGACTAGCAGATGCATCTTCATCCCAACCTTGGGACTTGGCCACGGGTGGCTCGAGGTCCCCAACTGTGATCGTGAATGGAACGTAGGAGCCCTGCGCAGCTCACTGCAAAAGAGATTGAATGAGCTTGATGTCTGCACGCCGAACTGCAGGAAGTCGAGATGAATGAAGAAGATGTAGCAGAAGGCCACAGGGGGGATTTTGCCATTTGAGCTTAGAGCTTGCAGTGACTCGAGAGCGCTGAGAAGCCTGGGACGCGTGACGCGTGGGCCACCTTCTAGGACTCAAAGGATGGGTACATCCGCATCTGTCACTGTGTGCAGCGTGTACAGAAGCAGAAGCTGCTGTCTCGCCTCGTTCTCGGAGTGCACAGCATACGCAACACGAGCGGAAAACTTCCTGTGCAGTCACGGCAACGGTTTCGGTGAGCCACTGCAGACCTACTGCCCGCAGCTTCAAAACAGCATTATAAAATCAAGAAAAGCACATTCTCCGACGGCCATGCCCTAAAGTAAGCAACAAAAGCTGCAGGATGGGTATGATGCTTAGCTGCCCTGTCAACGGAAATGAGTCTCAAACTGATGCTTGCCATCGTCATTCGTTGAAGTTTTTGGAAGACGCCAAACGCCTTAAAGGACCTATGTGGCTGTGTGATACTAAAAACCGCGACGAGGCAAACCTCTTCCAAGAGCGATGGCAAAGCTAAGAATGAGGGTGCCACGTCTCTGGAATAACTCTGTAGGCTCCGACCGTGTCTCATTTCTTAACACGTCCACCCTTGCTCTTGGGTCCACACCAAGTGGAACCGGGCCGCATAATCTCCCCTCTGAGTAGAACTTCCTGGGAGCACGAGTAGTCCAAACTGGCTGAGTGCCACAAACAACCCCGAAGCCCCTGCTACGTCTCGCTGGGCTTACACATGCAATCCACAGAAAGCTTTGGGCTTTGGCAATTCCCTTCTCAGCCACCGGCCAGCACGTTCGCACTGGCGCTCTCGTCTTTGAGGATCTAGCAGCAGCTCTCTTGCATTCTAACAGCTCCCCACCCCTGCAATCGTAGCTACTTTGCTGGGTCTTTGTACCAACTCAGGCAACAGACATTCCGAGACCTCGAATGTAGCGAGCGAACACCTTCGATGCTTACTTAGCGAGACACCTTCGATGCCTCCAGGATTTTCCGGGTTAAGATCATTTGAGCTAGCATACACGGTCATACCAGCGGCACGAATGCCAATGGTCTCACTGACAACTTTGTTGAAGAAACCTCTGCCATGCTCGACGACAATCTCTGATACTCAGGGTAGCAATATTCAGTGACTGCATACCGCTCCGGAGAGGCAGCGGAGCTGATCCGATGCACGTTTCAGACACCGAAGCAAAAGCTTCCAGCAACGCCAACGCATGCCGGCATCGACCAGAATTGTGCTGTGAGAGCTTGGATTCTTAGCATTAGTGTCTCCACCCTGAAGTGAACGCCATCAAACCAAGGCTGCTGAATGGCGCCTTGGACATCTCGAAGTGTCGTGGCACCATGCCGTTTATCACCTGCTAACTCAAGGTTTGCCATTCGCACCGATGATGCTTGCCTTGTAACAATACCGCTACGAGGTCAACTTTAGGAGAAAGCCTGTGCAAGGCACGTGTGTATCCCTGCATGTTGCATGACCATGGAAGCATAGATGGACAACACATTCCCAATGCATCAACTAGCATTTGATGTCAGCCAGCTGCAAAACCCAGTCACATCACACGAATCACCATGACTGCAGGGGGGAGAAGGTATTGCTCTTCGCTTGGAAACTCACTGTAGCCTCGCCGTAGTACCAGTCAACCACGACCCGGCTCTCCGATCCGTCGGGATTCGGAGCCCGGGTCAAGTTGCACCTTGGACCCGGCTTCTCAGGAAGCGACTTGTGCCACTTATTTCCTGCCACGGCGTGAAAATCAAGACGCAACTGCGTGGACGAATGCTCTTCCCGCATGATGCAGGATGCTTACGACTGATATCCCCTGAGTAAACCAAGAAAAATCCGAATATAGAAACAATGTTCATGCGCTCCTCCTGACTCATGGCCGGTAAATCTTTCAAACTTCCGAAAGTCTCGCAGCTGCGGCTTGAGGTCCAACCAGGCTTGGGCTGAGGCGAGCATCTTCCGATCATCTGCGCATCACTCTCACTGGCCACCTTTTATGGCATGTATGTGAGCTTTCGTTCTTGACAGCCCCCTCAATGGGCACAACAGGAACAAAAGAATGCTGGCTTGGACTTTGGTCTGCTATTGGACCTCCCTCGAGCAGTGCCTCCAGGCGCAGTCGTCCAGTTGGCTCCCCTTGAAGACGCTGTGGCCTAATGTGAACCTCGGCAACGAAGTTGCAGAAGATCCTTTTTCTAGCATCGAGGGCCGGCGCGGACACGACCCAGACCCACAACCGGGACCCGGACTCGGACCGACCGGACTTGTCGCCCGTACATTCGTTGCTTACACTCATTTCCAACCTAAACCGACCGACGGACCGACGGGCCTGCCCATCTACCTGCCTGCCTGCCTGCCTGCTTACCGTATGTCTCTACGTGCACACATACCTCAACACCACGTACATACATACATACACACATGTGCCAGTACAGAAAGGTATACACATACATAAACCCCGACTGGCTGGAACATCTAATATATCATATAGACTTTCCCTATACCTTTATGTATACTTGTACATTAGCCTATACCTATGCATGTACATCGTACATATGCATGTACCGACACACCATTAATTTCGTAACTGACCCCCTCATGAGACCATGGCGGGTCATCACACATGTCTTAAACCCCGCCTCTCGGTCGGTGATCGCGGGTGATCATGTGTCTTGAACATGCTCCCTCATCAAAAAACGGCACATCTTCGTGAAACCCGGCACCTCACTAGGCGATATTAGGCGATGGCGGGTGATCAGACATTTGTTAGACGAGCCCCCAATGCATAAAAACGCCTTCTCGTCAGGCGATGGCGAGTGACACTATCATTTCTTCCACCCGGCCAGGTCGTGCGTCGATGGTTGGTGACCATACGCCTTCAATTACCCGGCCAGGTCGTGCGTCGATGGTTGGTGACCATACGCCTTCAATTCAAATTGAACCCCCTTGGGCGATTCTGGGTGATCACACACTTCCTCAACCCGCCCCCTCATTAGGCGACCACACACATTCGCTGACCAGCCCCCTCGTCAAGCGATGGCGGGTGATCACACATGCCTTAGACCCGGCAGCCATCGACGGACAAAGATCGAGGTGAAGAAATACCTATGGATATGTGTGTCGATCTACAGTTGCTCATGAAGGAATGACCTTCTTCGCACGAAAAATACCTTGTGCACAACCTTTTAAAGCGGATGCATATTCACACTTCACACGCACCTCTGCCAGTTTGTTCAGTTTCTTCGGGAGCTGCTCAGTGGCCCTTCTCAGCAGTTTCTTGAAAAATTCTTGCAGACCCGTAAAGGCCATTCAAACCTTTATACGGGTGCCATAAGGCATGTTTGCGGCTCATAATAAACGTTCAGCCATTGCTTCTCGAAGGTGTCTTAAAGGCCTTTGCAACCTCCCTGAGAGTCGCAAGAGTCTCTTCCAGATGAGGCTTCGCATGGATTTCAATTCTTCGCACATTTAAATGAGCCCTTGTCCGACAACGCTTGGGCGAAACCTTCGCGCTACTCCTTGTACTGAAACTTGATTCTGGCACTTCGTTGCGGCCGACTGCGTGATGCAAAGCAGTGGTAGTAGCAGTATCAGTAGCAATCGTTGTCGTAGTAGTAGCAGTAGTAATAGCCGGTAGCCATCGTTGTCGCAGTAGTAGCAGTAGTAGTGGCAGTACTAGTAGTAGTAGTAGTAGTAGTAGTAGTAGTAGTAGTAGTAGTAGTAGTAGTAGTAGTAGTAGTAGTAGGTAGCAGTAGTAGTAGCAATAGTAGCAGTAGTCGTAGGAGTAGTAGTAGTAGTAGTAGTAGCAGTAGTAGTCGTAGGAGTAGTAGTAGTAGTAGTAATAATAATAATAATAATAGTAGTAGTTGTTGTAGTAGTAGTAGCAGTAGCTGTAGGAGTAGCAGTAGCAGTAGCAGTAGCAGTAGGAGTAGCAGTAGGAGTAGCAGTAGTAGTAGTAGTAGCAGTAGCAGTAGCAGTAGCAGTAGTAGCAGTATATACTACAATTTTTATGATTAGTGGTAGTAGTAGTAGTAGTAGTAGTAGTAGTAGTAGTAGTAGTAGTAGTAGTAGTAGTAGCGGTAGTAGCAGTAGTAGTAGTAGCAGTAGTAGTAGTATCAGTAGTAGTAGTAGTAGTGGTAGTGGTAGTAGTAGTAGTGGTAGTAGCAGTGGTAGTGGTAGCGGTAGCGGTAGCGGTAGTTGCAGTGGTAGCGGTAGTGGTAGTACGGCAAGTCGGCAGAATAGACAACTTTCGAACGAATAACACTTTCGCGAAGGGACATTTGGCTATGGAGTCGTCCAAAACAAACTCAAGGACCTTTAGATCAATTGTTTACCACGTGGCGGTACCAGGACCCCCATGTGTGCCCTGGATACTGCTAACTTGCTGACAAGCCTTCAACAACACACGCACCTCGTTCGAGCCAACTGCCCCGGCCGCAGGGATGCGCCTAGGTCTTGGGCTTTGGAAGTTGTTCTGGGCTTGCCAGAATACATCTGCTGCATTCTGCAAAGCGGCTCGCTGCAAAGCCAGTTGCTGCCGTTTTCTCGCAGGCACAGTGCGTGCGGCGATGAAACTCAGGACATGAGCTCTAATCATGATGGAAGCTGGGTATCACACGTAAGCGGAAGAATGCGAGTCGTCCAAGTGTCATAGGCGGCATAGCCTGCCATCATCACTTCACAAATAAAACAACATGACAGTCTCCCGGGTTCTACTTAGCGTGCAGGAAATCTGGAAAGCAGGCGGCGACCACCATCCGCCCGCGTCAGGGTGACTCCGAGTGTGATGGAGGAAAGCCTCCGGTCGGCGATGTAAGTGCCGGTGCCGCCACGGCAAGGAAAAGTCAGTCACGAATTTGGAAGCTGGATGACAGACAGGTCTTCAGCGCTCTGAGGTCCTCAGAGCTCCATGTGCAACAGCTGAGATGGTCGCCCACACCAGGTGGCTGATGGGATCACCACACGCAATTCACACCTGTCAAGAATGGCAGGAGAGCATGGCCCGTTGTCGGGTAGATCGATTAGGTGCCGGACGTCTGGGCCACGAGCTGCTCTTCGAATCCGAGGCCACACCATGGCCTCGATAGATCCGAGCACTTCTTAGCTGTTCGAACTCCTCCTGAGGCAATTGCACGACGCTGTGAAACGCGAACATCTCTTCCAGTGTGCTTTTCTGACTGGGGTAAAGTCAGGCTTTGGATGCTTCCAACTTCAGCTGCTGTGTAGCATCCTTTAACAACCAAACCCAGGAGGCACATCATTAAGGCATGCACTTCGCATTCAGCAGCGGCTGGATCCGACTGGTGCAGGCTGAGAACCTGGCAGTCGTGTACTCTACGGACTAAGGATCAGGTCAAACGTGCAGCTGGCCTGCAGTTTTAGCACGCACAGCTTCAAGCTGCCAAACTCCAGGCTTCGCAGGAGCTTCGGAAGTTCAGTGCCAAGGGAGCGGACTGCACTGGATCTGGGAAGGAGGCTGAGCCGCAGGAACAAAGCACATTTCCGCATAAATCGGATTTTGACTAGGGGGTTCCGAGTTCCGGGTGCGGGGCTGTTCGTCACTCTGTGCAAGTCTCGGGCGCCCCGGCAGCCGATCCTGGCTCTCCTGTGGAAGTGAACCATCCGGCCTGGCCGCAGCGAACGGCGCCCCGAAGCAGGAAACTCTCAATGCAAACCGCTGTTTTGTGAGGGCCGAGGTGATTGTCGGGATCCAAGTCCAAGGTCACTGACAAGACAGTCACGACGTGAGTCACGACACCAGGAGATGCCTGATAACCACTATAAGCTCCCAAACTTATTATGCTCAACACGAATGCAAGTTGTGGTTCAAAACCATGATAACCACAATAATCATTAGCGAAATCCCTCGCCCCTCTTTTTCTTCAGGAGGCGAGCGGTGCCTTTAGCGCGAGCCGCAGCCCGCTGGCGCAAAAGAGGGGGTGAGACGGCCAGGAACTTCTCCCCTCAGGCCTGAGTTGACTCGCCCAAAGGCGGTATCAGACTCACCCGCGGGTGGTAGAGGCCTTGGTCCCTTTTGCCTCCGGAGCCCTTGGGCGGGCTGGGCGGGACCCAAAAAGAGGCTACGGAGTTCGCTAAACGTATCTTACACGCTCACTGCTGCGGGCACTCGTGCGTGAGACGTGCGCAGACAGGCCATTAGCGAAATCCCTCGCCCCTCTTTTTCTTCAGGAGGCGAGCGGTGCCTTTAGCGCGAGCCGCAGCCCGCTGGCGCAAAAGAGGGGGTGAGACGGCCAGGAACTTTTCCCCTCAGGCCTGAGTTGACTCGCCCAAAGGCGGTATCAGACTCACCCGCGGGTGGTAGAGGCCTTGGTCCCTTTTGCCTCCGGAGCCCTTGGGCGGCTGGCTCGCGCTGCCCAATTTAAGCTCGCGCCCCCCATTTAAAGCTTGCGCCAGCCTATTGGACAGGAGGGCGTCGCGACTGGAGGCGCCGATCAAACAAGGAACTGAGGTATTTGATGCGCCCGTTGCGGCTGGCGAGGGCGGTTTGTTGAAGAAGCAGCGCACGGGCTTCATCCAAGTAGATTCGGCACGTACGTTGCTCCTGCCACCGGCCCATAAGCATGGTGGCCTCGAAGTTTTGCGTGCGCTGCCAGTGGAAAGTAGCGCCGCCGCGGCGCAAACTGTAAAGAGAAAAGGCGTCCTCAGGGAGAAGCAGAGCGGAGAGGAGGCGCCGAAAAGTGGCCCGGGCACGGGCGGGCGGGAAAGGGCAAAGTGGTTCGACCGAGTTATGGTGGGCCAGAATGCCTGGTCCCCAGTGTGAAAGGACTGGGTCGAAAAGGGTGACACTTTGAGCACGGCCTCGGCCGGTTTTTGTGGTGGTTAAGGCCACCACCAAGTAGCCTGATGGCAAGAAGGCCACTTGGTTCCCCGTGAGGGAGTACATTTCCGCAGAGCGCAGAAAACATAGGAAGTGAATGACCATCGCGAGGGCGAAGGTCGGCTGCTTCAGCTGCAGCAAAAGTTCAGCCATGGCCTTGACCACTTCCCAAGGGATAGGGGCAGCCCGGACTGGGGTGTGAATCCGGCACCAGTTGTTGTAAAACTGCTGGGCCGTTGGGAGTTTTCCCCTAAGGCGAGGCAGGAACCGCTTGAGGGCGGATAGGGCGCACCCTGCCTGGCCCGGGGATTCGCCTTCTTGAAAAAGGCAATTCACGAATTCTGCCAGATAGGCATCCAGCTCTTTGCTCGACTTTGGCCACAGACTCTCCTGCCGGAGGTAAAAAGACATTTAGTGCTCGCTGATACGCCCGCAAGGATTTGGGATGCAACCCCTGGAACCTCAGATGCTTCTTATTGATCTTGATCGAAGCGGCGCGACGGGGCATCTGCGCTGTTCCATCCCGAAAGGGTCCAGAGGACCAGGGGCTGCATCTGGGAGACCAGCAGCACTGCTGTCACCCTCCTTGCGAGGCGGTTGAGCCGCTTGCTGCTGGAGCGGCCTTTGGCGAGCACGTAGTAGGTGGCCTGGGAGTCGAGCACGTGGAAGTAGCGGACGTTTTGTCCGCCTGGGCCGCGTGAGATGCGCCTTATCTCACAAAAAGCGGCCGTCAGCTCCAGCGTTGTAATGGAGTCTTCCTGACGGAAGGGATAGGAAGCCACGGTCTTCCACTCCCAAAGATGAGCCGGATACGGCACCAGTCTGGAGGTCCCTCCCTCGAGAGGTACTTCAAGGCGAACCTCGGTCCCTCTGTAGTGGACCGTTCGAAGGAGCCACTGGTAGTGGTCTTCTTTTCCCTCCAAGAGGGAGCTGGCGATCGGGAGGATCGCCTCCACCACACTTTTTGCCACCTCCACACTCTGGAGGCCCTTGGTGGCCCTCCATTTCCGCCACCAAGGCCTCGGAGTAAGCCGTGGCAAAAGCCCACGGATACTCAGCTTCCTCCTCACACCGGAAGAAGAGAGTGGGGCCACTGTACCAGGCCTCCTCTTTGCGAAGTCCCCGGTGGCCCGGGCAGGCCGGCCTGTGCAGGCGCTCGTGGAGCTTGGGGCTGTTGTGGAGGAGCCCCCACCAGCGCTCGTGATCCCCACCAAAGCAGCAAAAACTGAAGGTAGTGAAGAAGAACCTCCCGTCCGCCAGAAGCTTCTTGGCCGCAGCCAGTTCCCAAAGGTAACTTTCCCACGGATGGATAAGCGAACCTATGAGACCCGCATCAGCGGTCTCCTCCAGCTTGGTGAGGGAACGGCTCGCTGTCTGGTTGGACCTCCGAACGGCAAACTTGAGGTCACTCTTGATCCAGGGAAGACCCAACAGGTTCCTCTGGTCTCTGACCTGAGAAGGTCCGCGGACCCACTGCCCTGACCGAAGCTGTGAGTGGCCCCCCCTCTCTGTCGAGAAATACTTTGCCTCGGGGGAGTGCCTCGCCACCACTTCCGGGTCAGTCTCGATGGTGGCGAGGAGGGCCTTGCCTTCCTGCGTGAAGAAGTCCTCGGTGCCCTCGCCGCTCCGATCATAGGGCATCCTGACTGCCACCTTTGCTTCAGCCATCGCGCGGGTGAGCCGGGCAGCGGGCCCCGCGAAAATCTCCGCGAAGGCGGGGGCGGCGTAGGACTTTCGGGTGCAGTCCCTCTTGCGGTGGTTCTGGACGCACCCCATGGAGCACAAGCTCCTTCCGCACCGGGCCGGGCAGGAGTACGGCATAAAGCCGTTGGCTTTTCGCCACCCTTGCCCGCAGTTTGCACACTCAGAGTCCCCAGCCTCCGAGGGAGGCGGGGGCTCGGGCGGTCGTGGGACGGTGGCCACTGTGGCACCTCCACCGTAGGGGGAGGCGTCGGTGCAGACAAGTCTTCTCCTAACTCTCGCCCGCAGGTCGGTTCTGGCTCCCGGGAGCATGCAGATAAAGGCCACGATCTCATCAATGACCGCCTTGTTGGAGGCCACCGGGCCGTGCTTCGCTTCTTCTATAAGATAGAAGACCTCCTGAAGGACCGAGAAAAGCGGCCGGCGGAAGGCGGCGGCGAAGGTGGCCAAGCCCACCCAGCGCCGGAGCATACGCTCTGTCCACGCCCCTTCGGCGATGAGGGCCAGGGAGGCCCTCACAAGCTTCCGGGCCTTGTCGGGAGCAAAGGAGAGTGTCCCCCTCTCTCCGTCAAGATGGCCCCCCTGGATCCCGGCTTGGACAGCCCCCGCCAGGGACTTTCCCGCGTTGAGAGGAATTCTGTGTCGCCGGCAGGCTTCCTTGAACCGCGTGTGGTTCTCCGACTCCTCTCCACTCAGGAGGTCAGAAAGCGCGGCGTCCACCACCCTGATCTCGTCGAAAGAGTCAAGGTAGAGCATGGCGCCGTGGCTGCCAGGGAAGGGCTTTACCTTGTTGATCTCCAGCGCGCTGGGTATCGAGGCCTTCTTGAAAACAAGGTTTCGCAGGATGGCCTGGACCAGGGTAACCGAAGAGCTCCACCCCATGGGTACCACTCGCAACGCTGGCCGGGCCCACTCCTGAGACAAGCCCAGGCAACGACCCGGCACCTTCTTGGAGAAAGAGAAGTACCGAGCCCAGCCCTCCGGGAGGGTGAAGAGGTTGAAGGCCGAGGTCAGATCCTCTGAGTCCACCATAATGAGTTGGTCCTCCTCAAGGCAGAAGAGGGACATCTGAGCCACGTAGGGGAGGAGGTGTTGCTCGCCAGGGAGGTCCAGGAGAAACTCGTTTGCCGGGATGAGGTTTGCAATAAACCTTTGGACCTCTCGGCCATCCTTGAGTTTCTTGACCGCACCCGCGCCGTTGGTGACGAAGTGCCCCTGACTGTCCCGCCGGACGACAGAATCCTCCACCGCAGTGAACATGCCCCTTTTGAAGCCGGCCTCCACCACCTGAGCCCAGGCCTCGTCCGTGGCGTGCACTGCCCCCTTTCGGGCAACGGCGGGTTGCTCGGCCGCCTCCCGCCAGTGCCTCTTAGGGTTGAGGACGGCTTCCAGAAGGTCACCTTCGATGAAGTGAGTCGCGGGGCACACGGCAGCCTCGCCTTCCTTGGGCCAGGCGGCGATCACCAGCTCGGGGTTGATGTCGGTGATGCGGTGGGTCTCCTTCCCATCATAGTCGAAATCCACCGCTTCCAGAATGTCTCTGGCCTCCTCGTAGGAACCGAGGCCGTCTTCGTCGGCCCCACAGGGCTCCATCATGGACTCTGGACCGCGGTCCGTTGCCTTTCGGACAATCCTGGGGGGGCCGGCAGACAGATCGGCCGGTGCCACCCGCAACAGAAGAGGAAGTTGGCGGCCATGAAGTAGGCCTTGACCATTCCGCGGACGCGCGGCTCAAGAAGCCCCTCCTCGTCCAGGGCGGAAATAGAGATGGGGAGGATGTCGCTCGGGCCGTCCCTCGCGGTAGGAGCGCCTGGGTGGCTCGCCTCCTGGATGGCACAAACACTGTGGAAGGCGCCCCACCGGGTAGGGAAGTTGCGCGAGTTGGCGCACAGCCAGTCAGCCACATCCCTCCACTTCACGCCCTTGCGGAAGAGTTTCTGGATGTGGAGCAGAAGCCCTTCGTGGCCCCAGCTTCGGCGCGCCTCGGGCGCAACCCAGTCGAAGTTGTCCTCGGTGTCTCCGAGGGCGTCGTAGTCCTCTTGAAGATCAAAGGGAGGATCGGCGGTGACGAGGTCGTCCACTTCCTTCTCCTCTTCCTCCGAGTCCTCCTCCTCGTCCGCTGGGTCGTCACCGGGCCCGGACCAGGAGGGTCATCCCCGCCCCAGTCGGGCTCCTGGTCGGGGTCCTCCCCCGCAGGGGGTCCTTTGTTCACTTCGCTCCCGACTTTCCTCCTTTCTTTCCGCCGGCTTTGCCCCCTTT